CGAGCGCCCGGGAGGCCGTCTGCGCAAGCGCGGCCGTACGAGAGCGCGGATCTAAACCTCTCATTTCACCGATTGATCTATCTATTCCTCTTGTCGGGAAAAGTGGCAGGTAGGCCGTAAGGCCGTGCCGCTCCCAGACAAGGCTTGTTCAACGACGAAGTACGTTTACTTGGTGTTTGTATGTGAAGTGATTTCTGGTCTTACTGGCACGTCTGTATTATGCTGAACTCATTTAGGTTCAATTAGGTCAGTATTTCCGGTTACTGTTCGGATAAGCTCATGATTAATTGAGTTTGGATTATCATTTTTAAGACATTCCTCGCGAGGGCCGACACTAGAACCACATGTTATGGAACCGCTTCGCCAATTGTAACGCGCCTGCTCGACCAGGGGCGGTGTGTAATCTTCGGTTTTTACTTCGCTCAACGCTTCATACCTCGTGCTTCGACCGATCTTCTTCGAAGTTCGGTCCTCGTCTTCGTACGCAGCCCTTGTTATCCGGATTCCCCAGGGGAGGGACGGATAAATCCTTGCGGAAATAATCCGGGGAATCCGGGGATCGAACCCACGACCTTTGAGTTAAGAAACCGATGCTCTACCACCTGAGCTATTCCCCCCCCCCTTGGATAAGCTCATGAGGCAGAGCCTCATGAGGCAATTTCTCACATCCCGCCCAACTGGAATGTCGTTCACTGCACTCACAGTATTTTTATTGTGCTTGAGAATAGTATTTTGACAATTTTAATTCAAAGTTGCAATAGGAAATCTCAGCGGCATTTCAATACAAACCACAAGTCAGATAGACTTCAAATTTGGAGCTAATCGGTTTCATACTAATATGAAGTACTTCCCAAAATTTCATCAAAATTGGAGTAATATTGATGAAGTTACGAAAATTCGGGACCCATTTCTCCCACACGTGCGGTAAGCCAATAAGAACTCATGAAAGGAGGAAAGGACAACTATATATTAGCCAATACATATTCGACATTGGATTAAACAAGAGATGCGCCAATCAGAGTCCACGACGCTGACGTTTGATTGGCTTATCCCAGGTGATAGATCTTATCACCTGGACTAAAACTGATTAAAAATACATTCTGTAACGAAACGTGAGGTAACGTTATGGATTATCTAAAACACTGGGGTCGATAAAACAAACACCCAAGTTTATGGTGTGAATAGCCAAAACGAGTGAAAAGCACAATACGTTTTCACTGCATAATTTTATTACAATTGCATGTGACATTTGTAAAATGAGGTCAACGAAGGTCGAGATTATATTACGGCATCATTGAACATCAGGAGCGCATGGAATATTTTCACGTGCCCTCTATCTCCTCGACCGATAGATGAGGTAGGACGTTGCAATGCAGCCTTTTTGGTGGGTCTATGTTGTTCCCTTGAAATAGTATTTGCCATGAATTTTAACCAATCAAAATTGGTTTTTCTACTTCAAGAAAATGCAATTTTATTTTATTGCAAAATCCACCTCTGACTGCGTTTTTTCGCCTAGCACTGTAACTGTAAATCCCCATCACGAGTGGTTAGCGTTGCTAACCACTGAGACCCTAATGTAGTAAGTGGTGAGATGGTCAGAGTATACGAAATGCCATATAACGTAAACGGCCACTTCTTGCCCTCGTTCAGTTTTCAATGTCAAGTATTTTAATTTTACCCAATCAAATACCTACGCGGCACTGAATCAGCCGTGATTGGCTGAAGTACTATTCGGCGCAAAACTCGCACAAATTATCGAGTGGAATTCCAACACATCTGCAATTTCACTCATGACGGGCTACCCACATGAGCAGCTCGTCGAAGCAACCGAGCGCGCGTTGCAAGGAGAGCGACAAACAGATCTCAGTCGCATCTACAATGTGCCATACCTTACGCTCAAGCTCTACATCAAGAAGATGAGAGACACCGGCAGCATCGCTAATTGCAATGACCGGTACGATGAAAATTGACAATGTTTAGTCCGATGGTACCTCCGCCGCAAGTTGGTCATAGTTTGAAGCTGGCGAAATGCTAGGGGAATATATGTGTTAGGGGTGAAGGTTTAGCTTGGGGCCATAGGCAGAGCGAACTTTTTTGCTATTGGTCAATGGTTTCTCCTTAATATAATTACCTGTAAGATATTATCAAAGTAGGTGCGGTTAGGTGTATATTAGCTTTGACTACTACTACAGCTAAGCCGTTCGTTGGAGATGTAGCATGTAGCACTGCGGGAGGAAGCGTGTGTAGTTGAGGGCAAAATGCACAATGAATAACTGAAGATCTACTGAGATTTCCTTAATCCTCATCACTATGAAATCTTCTTAGTCTACGTCACAACGTCCACACTAATATGCACTTTTGCATAGAATGGATGCGGGTGCGGATGAGACATTGGGGAACTTCACTAGACTAGCGCTTCTAAGCCATACATGTCCTTGAGACACATTCCCAGGCAAGCATTAGCTAGGGTGCGTCATGAGCCAGGTACTTAGGAGCTGGGTACGGGCAAGGTGGTGGCAAGGTCGTTACCCCCACCTGCCACATCGCTATGAACCGTTGCTTTGGGTTAACTGTAAAGCCATTTCTGACTATTGCACAATTGACAGCGAACGAATGTACAGTTTGGTGTTCGACGCAACCTTTTCTGGAACGAGGGCCTGCAGTACAAATAATCAACTGTTTTGCGTGTGCTCAACTGGAATAAATACTTTTCTATAGGCCCCTTCTTTTTACGTAGGGAAATATTCAGTCCTTGTACCCTACTTATTTTCCAGGGGTAAGAGGCTTCCCTGTCGTGGTTGCGGCATGGCACGGCTCGATCCAGTCTGCTTGGTGCAGGACAGCTCGACGGGGACGTAATAATACGTGTAGCTAGGCGCTATAGCTGTGGCACTATCCGATCTACATGTTCCTATAGCTCGTAGATCTCTGTGCTTGCGCTTGGACCTGGGTGTGCGTTGGCCACATCGTGTGGCCCATTTCGCTGGCACCCAAGCATACCATTTCGTTGTAATTTATATGAAGCTTCGTATGATGCACGTCACCTATAAACTACCAACTTTTCACAAAATTTTCTGACTTCTATTTCGTACTCGGAGTATTCATTACTCAAAATTTCATCAAATTGAGACATAGAATCGACAGAACTCAATGTGATGAAGAAATTCTCAGTCTCAGATTCAAATTTGGTGATGAATTGGTCCAGAAATAGATATTTAACCTAACGTTAATGGTATTTTACATGGGCGCATGGATGTTTGGCCATAGGGGTGGCCGCTGAAATGTATCTTGATTTTTGTATGTGGCTCTTATCCGTATATAATATCCGGGGGCAGTTGGGACCTTTAACCTTTCACTGAGGTGACAAAACGCATGAAATCGGTATTTAACGTATTTGGTGTTTGGGTTTAACTACATTCATTGTACGTTAAATAATAAAACCTCCATTCTTCGATTTGGCCAGTTGGAAGTTTTTTAGATGACGTGCATCATACTACCAGTACTACGTAGTAGTATGTAAGGAATAGACATTTTGGATTGGACAAAACATGCCGAAAAATGTCCAATCCGTGTGCATGAAAAGGAGTGAAACAATATCACCATTAGCCAATCACATGGAAGGAGAAAGCACGCTGACACACGAAACAATCATCGACCATTCTATTTTTCGTCGAATTTTGGGTTATAATAACGACGGTACTTGGATAAAGGCCTCTCAATATAATTAAATGGCAGTCGGAAGCACTCAGACTTTAAAACGTCGACAAAATCTGCTTCAAAAACCGTTCGATGATTGATGCGTTACCTTACTGTCATTTTATTCGGAGGAGTCCTCGATTGACAAAATGATTTGGCTCACTGTCAACTCTTGGGCCTCAAATTTCATTAATATATTTTTACAACTTTCATTTTGTATTAAGGAGTTGGATATTTTTATCGCTTGCATATACCACAGTAGTAACAGTTACACTATTCGGACTCATGTACATAATACACTGTAGTGGTACGAGGAGAAAAGTTTTCACCGAACTCAGATTTTTCGGTTGGAGCTAGCATTTCCAATAGAGGTAACGTACTGTTCGTAACAAAGCTAACGTTATTATATTTATTTACACGCTTGAGCTTGCGGCGATGGCCAAGAGCCCAAGGGCCAATCTGGGCAAGGTCATGATTGGCGATGCAGTCGACTGGGGGCCAGAGGGGTTGGCTCCCCCGGGAGCGGTTGTCGGGCCACTCGCGGGGGCTTCCAGGGCCGGATTCGGTCCCGCAGCTCCGGGTCCATACACGTCGACGTCCGTGCCGAAGAGGGCGGCCGCGAACTTGGAGTCCAACACTGTGGTGAAGTTCATCTTGAGCACATTGGCCACACACGCATCTTTAACCAGCGTCACGTCGCCTTTGGCCGCGAGGAAGGACGCGAGGATGGCGCCGCCGCAGTCGACGCCTCCGTCCGTGGGGCTCTGGCCGACAATTACATGGGGGGCGTATGGGAACTCGATTAACTTTTTGGTGGTGCCGGCCATGGTCGCATACTCGTCCTTGGCGTACTTGGGGGGTGTGGCCGGGTCGAGGTACCCCGTAAACATGAGGACAGATGCACCGGCGGGGATGGCCGCCGTCTTGTTCCAGTACGCGTCGCGGGCATACGTAAAGCCCGAATCGTATGCGACAGCGTAGTTTTTGCACGGCGTGTCCTTGCCACCTAGGTAGATGCAGTTGTCGAGAACGTTTTCCCGTTGCTCGAGGGGATTCATCGCGCCCATCATGGCGCTTTCAAACCACTTGGTCATTTGGGCGGCGGACGGCGACGGCAGTTCCCAGATCTCACTCAACACAATCGCCTTGTACACAACATTTGACCGACCTTCGCCGGTTAGAGTCGACACCTTGGACACGTTGCCCGTTCCCGACACGTTGAAAAGAGACTTGGGAAACCCGTCCAAGGTTGTCATGAGCAAATTCTCAGTGGAGTTGGTTAATATCATAACCATGTTAGCCACAACCGCTTGGTCGGCCGCGTTGCACCGGTTCAGGCGGTACAAGTACGCTGGGATCAAGTTGCGTTTGTTGTAGTCTCGTAGCATCGTGTAGAGGAAGTTGTTGACGAGCCAGGATGGATTGGTCGCGTATTCAGGCAGCATGGACCGGATCACGTCGGCGCACTTGCTGGACGCGGTCGCCGACTTCTTATCGAGGCGGGCATACAGCCCCTGGATGTACGTTTTGGATTTGGGGCCAACCTTGGAGGCGCAAAACTTGTCGTTGTCACAGTATGACAGGAACGTGTCGACTACATAACTCAAACATGAAGGAAAAATAACCTAAACCCCGAACCGAATACTAGCAATGAAACTATCAAACTATTACTATTACTGTAATAATATTGGAGATATGCGGTATGCATGAATGAATTTCCAGTCCAATCTTGACGATCAATATCCGAAATTACTTCTTGTCGCTGATTGGCTACAATATGTTTTGAATATAGGCGAAGAGGATATTAGCCAATCAGATCTCTCGACTCGGTTTGGGACGAACCATGGAATAATATTATTGGGGAATTTGGAGAAATCGACTACTATTAATATCAAATGAAAATGTTTTAGGTATGGTGTAGCCAAACAGCAAGTTGTTCCAATCAGCCAAAACCACGATATATTATACCACAAAGCAGAGTATTGTGATATATACAGTAGTATCTGATCGATGTTATGAAGCAGTATATCGTACCAGTGCCACCGACGTCGCGGTCCCAGTTGGAGTAGTACGGCGCGTCTTTTGTGATGTAAAACTGCTCGCTTTGGACGCTGTCGAGAATGTACCCCTTCACCCCCTCCGGAGCCAAGTGCATAAGTCGTTCGACCAAGTACGTGCCGTAGCTGAGCCCGTACACAAACACATCGTTGGTCGACTGTTCATTGGTGATGATGTACGCCAAGTCGGACGCCGCACTCGTCACGGAGAACGCCGCAGGGGCCACCGCGCCTACGTTAGTCGCAAAGTTCGTAAAACGTGTTCAACCATTCATATTAGCCACCTTGAAAGGTTAGCCATCGTCCAAAAGGCTGAGGGACGACGACGCCACAAGAACTTTACGGCAAGGACACATCAACACCACCAGCGACAATATGAAATGCGATCGTTGTAATTGCCATACCATATTTAGTCTTGATGTTGGTGAGGCACTTCAACGTTGTGTTGGGTGAATACGGAATGTTGTCTTCAGCGCAGGACAGCGGGGCACTGCGTCCGGTGCCGCGGTGGTCCATCGTGTATACCGCCACGGACTTGCCAGCGTTGACATATGAACTGGCCATCAGCCCCTCCACTGCACATCAACAAGTCGTGGTGAGAGAGTGTGAGTTGGTCGAGGGGTTGGTTTTGACAACGCACTGTTGACAGACGACTCGCCAGGGCCCCCTTGAAGCATCCATAGCGCTTGCTGCTTGGAACCGATCGGAGGTAGCTTCTGTGGCGGAATGCGCTTTACAAACACAGTGATCTGCAACGTGCTGGTGCACACGCCAGGGTGACACAGCGGCACTTGGATGTCGGCGCATTCAACGAGCGGGTTGTCGTCACTCGCGGCTACACCCCTGGCTACGGTCATGATGGGGCACGGGTACCATGTGGCCTTGGCATCGGCTTGTCCGAGGAAGAAGGCGCCTACCAGGGCCAGCGTGGAGTCAACTACGCGCATGCCCACGACGGTGGTGCAAGTTCAAATCTACGAGTTTATCGAAGGAATTCATTTGGTTATGGGTGGAGTTATGTCGGCCAGACGACAGACTCGAAGATTAGTTACATGGTGAAAGGCGGTTTATTGGTTGCGTTAAAGTACGTTTAAACCGTCAAGCAGGTTATACAACGATGGTGAATGTGACATCGTAGCCATAATTGCCAAACAATCGAGGGCGGACATTTCTGGTACTTCGAAGTATGACCAAGTTGTTTAAGGTAAAAATCAGGTTGGGTGCTGAGGCAAGGTACGGTAGCTGTGCAAGTTTTGCAACCGAGTTCTCCACAGATTCGATTGAAGTGATTGTGTCTAGTGTGCTTGAGCTAGTAGGTATAACGTTTAGTACGTACTACCAGTAGTAGGAAAATTTTCATGAAGCAATCAATCGCGTGCTTTGGGCGAGTGGACATGGCTTACAATAAATAACTTTCTTGTGTTCGTAATATCAACACCTAGAGTAATTGTATGCATTTTACTACTGGGGTAAAAAACCAGTAGATTGCCCGATATCAGAGCATGGCCCGAAACACTTTTCATGACAAACTTTATTTAATTACATATAATCTATAGTGAATACGAATCATATTGACAATAGAATTTATAGTCCCACTATTTCGATGAATAGTGTATTCAAGGCTAAATTAGGGCCATTTACTGATCTTCTCAAAATTCACAATGTTGACTTTGACCAGCAATAGCTTAGCGAAGCATACATTGAATCCTTCAAAGCTTGCTTGAATGATGTAGCGCATTCAATCTTCTACAACAGCATAGTTGAAAGTTCATCCAAATCGTCTTATTTGTTGAGAAAACGTAAAAAATCTAAGGAGTCATTTTTCGGGCCATCTACTGGTTTTTTTTTACGTAGTATATTTCTAGACAAACTTGACATTACATCATAAGTGCCCGCTGAGCGATTTTAACTTTACAGCGTAATATCAATGACATTACATCATGAATGACGTCGTCGTGAAAACAATCACCCATCGGCACAAGGCGAATTTCGAAGTACCACTGGTAAAGTATTTCTGGTTTCAGTAATCATACGGGTGCCATTTTGCGGATGGTTTGAGGCAAGTACAATACAGTAGTCCTGTGTACGGTAGTACACCTTCTGCCTTGCCCCCTGCGATTGTGAACTGACGTTACGACGTTAATGCACCTTAATGGCACGTCATTCGCAATGGTGATACAACAACACCATGTTCTTCTCGTCGTCCCCGCCATACTGTACTCTACCAACGCTCTGAACGTACTCAGTACTGATACGTTTACCTCGAATCTAATAAAAACGCACGCGTTAAACGTTTCCACCATTGCAATCATGTCCTAAGGCTACAGCTATACAGTACAACAGATGCCATTTGATCACGGCATCGAGTTCTTCGACCAACGCACGTGAATCCCCTTCCTAACACCAAGCATATTACGACTTCCTCGGCATTCCTCATTCCCGGCCTACTCGTTCACACACAACCTTCGATGCCAACACGTCAGCTGTGGTCCAGTGTGGTGCTGGCTGCACTTGCGTTTGCGCGAGCGTCACATGCCCAGATGTCGTCGTCGACGCCGCTCCAATTCAACTGGTACGCGTGTCCATTTCAGACGGCAGAAGACGGCGCCCACGACGACGTGAATGCCACGCCAGCCGAATGTGCGGATGTAGCCATGCCGCTGTGTTATCCTGGCGTGTGCACTTCGACGAAAACCATCAATGTGTTTGTGAAGCGGTTGCTGGCAGTCAACCCACCGCCAGACAAGCAGCCACGGGCCATGTGGATGGTGCAAGGCGGCCCTGGCTTTGGCTCGCCTAGCTGTATGTCTATCCCGAACCGCGTCGTACATGATGATGCATCTCACGGGTTGTTTTCAGTAGAGCCGGGACTGCTGGACGCGTACGAAGCATTCAACGGCACGTTGAGCGTGTACACCATCGATCATCGAGGCACGGGCCGGAGCTCGATCTTGAACTGCACGTCAAATGGTGACCAGCCAAAGGGCAATCTGAACCAGTGGCAGGCGCTGGCTAAATGCCACCGGCAGCTCAAAGCGCTTTACGGTACAGTCCCACTCATTTGTTCTACTCCACAAGCCAGAGTCCTAATAAGGTTGCATGGGCGTTCAATGGTAGGGGAGACGAGTGGGCCGATAGGGTTCTCGGTTACCAGCGCCGCTATGGACATCGCGACTGTGATCCAAGCGCCGACCTTGTTCAACGGCACGGACGTGTTTGTGTACGGCGTGAGCTTTGGCACGTACACGGTGGCTCGCGTCATGCATTTGCAGCCATCCAACGTCAAAGGGTATGTGCTCGACAGCATCCAGTCGGAGGAATTTGGAACTACCAAGGCCGCGCCGTACTATTCCAACTGGGACCGCGACGTCGGGGATGCAGGTACATATATATATATATAATATAATATATTATACCCCCTTTCGATCGAGTTGATTGCAACAGACAGGCTACAATATGTACCTATGTATTGTCATTTTCGCGGACAATATTCGGACTCGATTTGAGAGAGATTGTAAGGTAGCTTGTTAGTGATTGGATGGTATACACATTCGAAGATGAACTTGTTGATTGGGCCAAACTGCGGGGTCAAATTGATTGGTTGAAAGTTTGAGTTGTGAATTTTGATTGGCTAGGACATTCCATCATCCATTTGTCAAATTCATTCGACTAAGGTAACGCATCGAAATCCCGAACACTTTTTGCCGCAAATTTGATCTGTCCATTCAAGTTGATGTCCTGGAGAAACCAGACTACTCTGAGAAAATCTGAGAGAACCCAATGAAAATATAATTCAAGCTCCATTTTATGTGCCATTTCAAACACAATTGAACGAGATTTGCGATTTGGACGAAAATTATTATCACCACTTTCGTGCCGAGTTGGGAACTTCAAGAATTCCGAAATCGCGAACACTCAAATGTCTTGTCTTGAGTATGATGCTATAAAAATTTGCAAAATAACATCACCAATTTTAATCTGGATGTTTTAATTCAAAATGTCAACGAAAAACATTATATTCAACTCAACAACATCATAGTGGATGCAGGATAATATATTATTGTTTGATATTAAATTACATTGAATTTGCTTCCGTCAACATGGAGTGGTGAATATAATCATAGCCAATAGATTTTCATCGGCCACCAAGAGAAGTTATTCATTGGTCAAAATTGACACTGTTCGCGATTTCGATGCTGTTCGGGATTTCGATGCGATACCTTAGTTCAAGTCATGTTGAAGTATATTATTGTTTCTCGTCGAAGTTATTTTTATTTATTTTAGATCTAATTTTCCACTAACGTTATCTAAACCATATAATCTTTCACCTCTTTCCCAGTCATGATATTACCAGAGAGAGAGACATTTGAAAGTGGATTCTTTATTTCTTCAACAATTCCCTTTACAAGTATTTTGTATTTTTTTATTCATATTTTAAAATCAACAGGACATGTCGATCGATTCCAGTTGGCTTGTAAATCATTGCTTAATTTTGATTTAGTCGACCAGTACTTTGCCCACTGCGACAAGGATGCGTTTTGTGCCTCTAAACTCGGCCAGCCATCGTCTAAGCAAGCCCTCGTCGACGTGTACGCCGCGCTGGACGCCAAGTCCAGTCCATGTTATGACGTCCTCGCAGCTACTGCCACCGCCGCCACTCCGTCCGAGTACGTTGGCTCGACTTTGTACACCATGCTCGGCGACAAGAGCACGTGGTCGCTGATCGCGCCGTTCATTTTTCGTCTACGCCGGTGTAGCCAGGACGACGTCGACATGTTTGGCAACGTCACCGCCGTACCCAACGCGATGATGCAGACGTCGATGATGTCAACGTCGTCATTGCCCCTCTTTGTCTTGCCTCCGAATCGGGGCAGCGCGTACTTGAAGGACGAAGGCTTTTCCGCAATCCTGTACAACTTGATCGTGTTTAGCGAATTGTGGGAGTTCCCGGCACCTACCCTCGAAACGATGGCGGCTGCGACAACGTCTGCCCTCTTTGGCTTGAAAAATACCAAACGGCTACCCGACGCCTTCCATGAGCTGTGCGTGTACATCCAAAACAACGACCCCGTGTGCCAAGGCTACCCAGCTTACGAGAGCGGCGCTGGCTTTATATATCCGAAGGACAAGTACTGGAACAAGACCGCAGCCGTCCCCCCCGGCGCGTCGGTGCTGCTGCTCAGTGGCCTCATGGATCCGGCCACGCCGGCGAAATACGCTCGCGATCAATTCGTCAACATGAAGGGTTTGGACAAGCTGCTGCTGCAGTTTCCGTTTGGCGGGCACGGCACCCTTAGCACTACCCCGCTAGCCGACCAGGTCCGCAATATATATATATTTATATACATATATATATATATATATATATATATATATATAATTTATTTATTTATATATTTATATATTTATTATTTATTTCTATACATTATATATATATATAATTTATATATTTATATATAATTTATATATTTATATATATATATATAATTTATATATTTATATATTATATATGGAGGAAGTAGAAACGTCAACACTGACGAAAAAGTCGGGGTTTGTTTGTCTATAGCCAAACGTAGACTGCGCCAATCAAATCTTTTACGCGTACATACAACGTCGCGGCAAGTTGCAAGCGTTGGACACGACCTGCGTGGCCAAAGTCCAAACTTTGGATTTTCAAAAAGTACTCAACTCGGATCGCGCCACCGCCATCTTCGGCACCGATGGCGACGTGTGGGGCCCCAACTCGCCGCCGCTACCTCCCCGTCCAACGACTCCCCGCACAGAACTGCCGTCCCGCTCCCCCAAAACTGTCGCCCCGGCTTCCAGTACCCCCCGTGCTGCTGCTGTAGTCCCCTTAGCTGTCATCGTGTCCTTTGTCGTGCTGTACATGGTGCCAGAGGGCTTGTAGTGGTTGGCGTTCAATTTATATTGCAGGTGGTGGGATTCACAGTCAATTGGCCATAAATTCAACTAATAGACTCGGTATATATTAATATTCGTGAAAGTATACTATTAATAGTGTCTCCATAATCTACTTCGAAGTAATGTACTTTTCACATAACGGAAGCATCTCCATTCTCGATCACATCTTGCTGGGCACTACTGCGTCATGGTCATGCTCTGGCCCCAATTATCATTATATCCAAGCCCATCGTTGAGGGGGAGCCCAGTTGATATGCTGCCAACGTGACCGCTACGATCCTCTTGGTACACTCAACCTAGCCACAAAGCATCCGGTGGCACTGCGGCATCTTTGAGATCGCCCACAAGTCGAGTCCACAGACTCACTCTCTCGATTATGTCGATCGACGGCGTGCGAGGTCGGGATGATCGATACTAGTGCATGTTAGTTGGCCTACTGTACTGTACGTTCGTCACTAGCTCATGTCCGACGGCTCCGAGACAGTCTGGGCTTGAAGTTGAAGTACATACACGCCCCCACTCCTTCGGCGCTACGCGCAGTCGTAGGCTCGACACGGGGCGACGGCTGGAGCAGGCCACGTCATGCGAAAATACACCACGGAACCTCAAGCTTGTGGAACGCGTGCGGTAGACGGTTTCGTCGATGCAACCAACGTGGACAACCCAAGGGTTCCTGAAGGGAATCGTGAGTTTACGTACGCCAACATGGCCATGGCAGTGGTGGTGGACCATACTGCCCCCGATCACAGAGCACGATTTGAGGGCTGCGAAAGGATTTGAGCTTGCAACGCAACGTGATGCAAGGATTCTAGGACGTTGGGAAGATGTAAATTCTGAACGGTGCTACGGCGACCATTGTTTATGGGCATAATAATGTATCGAAATTGTCACTCGATAGGGAGGACTCGGGGGAAGTAAAATAAATGTCCACCAATACTGTTGTACAGTATGTACGATGACACTACAACGACTCACTCCACCTTGCAATCTGGACCAGTCACATAAACAGTACGCGACCTTCACTGTAACGTTAGGACGAGATATGGACCAAAAACCCAAACCTCTCTTGAAGACCACCACCTGTGAGTTTGGAAAATCGTACATATATATAGCCATCGAATCAAGGTCAGGTGCGCGTTGTGCCATGACCTCCTCTATCGTGTGGTTGTGCAACCCGACTCGTAGAATTTGTAAGAGGGTCCAACATCATCCCACATTGGAAGGACTGGCAGTGTTGGACACTTTAAGCGACAGGGCTGGTACAGTAACGTTAACATAAGTATTTCATCGGTTCAATTCCCTCATTCATACAGTTCCACTGTTGTTTTGACCCGAAATACACTCTTTCAATGAGGTTTATGAGGAACTTTATATGCTCTGACCACTTCACCTCTTACTAGGGGTTAAGCATCGTATGTACTCACCAGGGGTAGGTCCTACCGTAGTTTACAAGGCTACTGGCGAAAAGGTGTATCCGGATGTAATAATTCGCTTAGTACTTCGGGTCAAAACAACAGTGGAACTGTTTGAATGAGGGAATTATTCCATTTCATTGGCATCATAATCTGCATCCTTTCATGTTGGATATGAATGGATCATTGGAGCCTTGCAAGAACTGTATATGTACGTGGTGATTCATCAAATCCACCCTGTTAGACGGATTGATTCGTGCTAGTGTCTGATTTTCGAGATAACGTTATTACCGTAGCACGGTACAATTTATCCCCACAATCGCTCAACACTATCAACCTATTGGGGGGACTTATTCTGTGGCAACGATGTCGGTACATACTAGTACATCAAAGTGAGATTGCTGTTGGGCGTCTTGTACCTTGGACGATCTAACGTTACCCTATCTATCAACACTCTCAAACCACACACGCCCCATGCAACCCCTTGCTGCGGTGAAAAATCGACGGGACCAGGGGTGGTGAAATGTGTAATGCAATCTGGTTCCACTGTAGCAAGTAAGTATCCTTTATACAACGACGTCCAACTCTATGCAAGTTTGATAGCCTACTTCATCTTAGATCATCATCCTTCACACACAGTAGCGCACCGTGTGTCCATGCAGTACTCGGACGTGAGCAGCGGCGAGTCGTGCGACGAGTTCGACTCGTCCATCCACCACCACCAACCACGAGGCAGCCACCACCGTCCTCCTCATCGTCCCACGCATGCCGTCGTTTCGGACGCGGACGCAGCGGCGTCCATCGCAGCACAGCCCAAGGAAACCTCCCAGCGGTGGCTCAACTGGTATATGGGCGCACCGGGAACGTTCGTCGGGACGTTGGTCGGTCTATGCATCGTCGAGGGGGTGCGCGTGGCGCCCGCCGTGAAGCGATCAAGCCAAGCCGTCATGTACGACATCGGCGACGCGGTGCACACGGTGGGGGCTTTGTACTTTCGAGCGCTGACGTTTATGACATTGCCGTTGGCGTTCCTCACCATTGCGCTCAGCGTGGCCGACATGATGATGTCGAAACGCATGTTCCGAGTCCGGTGGAAGCTAGTGGGGCTGACGTTGCTCACGACGTTGCTGGCCATTGGCCAAGCGCTCGTCGCCGCGTGGCTGCTAGGGTCCCGCCTAGACAGCACCAAGTCGTACGAGTTCGTGATGGGTCAAGCCACCAATACCACCCCCGTGGTCGCGTGGCAGTGCCCCAACATCACCCACCCCGCGGACGGGCTGCGCACGACGATCCTTGTCGCGCACAACGTCACCAACGACCTGCAGTGCGTTCCGTCGTGGGGACCCGTGAACGGTTCGGCGCTCGACGAGCGTCTATTTCTCGTCACTGGCATCTCCAGCTCGATGTTTGCCAACCGAACGGCGGGTCAGTTTACGTTTGACTCGATGTCGGCCGAGATCATCAACACGCTCGTGAACCTCTCGCCGAGCAACATGATGGACATGGTTCTGTCCAACAACGTCGTGGGGCTCGTGGTCTTTGCCGTCTTCTTCGGCCAAGCCGCCGCCATCGCGTCCTCCCCCGCGTCGGACCTCCTCGACCCGATCCAATTCATGCGGGAGCTCCACGCGATCTTCAAAACCATGCTGTCGTACGTGGTAACGTGCACCCCCCTCGCCATCGTCCCGCTGTTTGCTGGCCCCTTCCTCACCGGCACCCAGACCGCCCGCGACGACTTTCCCCGCCTCGGGTACTTCATCCTCGCGTTTGCCGCCACATGCACCGTGCACGTCGTCATCGTCCTCCCCGCCGTCCTCTTTCTCTGCACCAGAACCAACCCGTACAAGTACTTGTACCTGGTGCGAGGCGCGCTGGTCTTCGGACTCGGCTGCAGCTCGTCCAGCACGAGTTTGCCGTTAGCGATCCGGCTCATGGACGGCACCAACTCCTGCGACCGCAACATCGCGCGGTTCGCTGGATCGATTGGCACCGGGATCAACAAGAACGGCGCCGCCATGTACATTGTGCTCGCGCTCGTGTGGACGATCCGGAACGCGGGCATCGACACCGACCTGTCCGTGCTCAAGTATGGCATCCTGAGTGCGTGCGCGCTGGTGGCGTCGCTGGCCGTGGCGCCTGTGCGCACCGGTGGCCTCGCGGTCGTGCTGTGCGTGTTTCGCCAAGTCACGGGGTTGGATATTGTGCCGTACTCGCTCAGCTTTATGGTCATCGCCGAGTGCATCGTGGACCCGATGTCCACGGTGGTGAATTTATGGGGCAACTTGGTCGTGTCGCGCATCGTCGCGCACAGGTCCAAGTAAGTTATGCAGTTAACAGTAAAAAGTGTATATAGTTAGTTGATGGATATGAGAGGCGGTTCCGTGGCTTGGGATGTGTCGGTGCAGAGATTCATAATTATTGGTGTGCAATGTGATGCGAACGCCGAAATACGGCGGAGACGTGGCCAATACTAGAGTAGTTGATATAACAATGTACGAACGGTCTAGATGGACGAAGGTCAGCATAACGTTACCGGTATCAATACAGGAAGCACATGGTTTCCACTAAAAAGGCGAAGAGGGCTTCTTTGGTGGCCATGGAAGTAAGTAGACATTGCATGTACGATACATCTCAAAACCAAAGTGCATGCAGCACCCAACTAACTAGTGGCGATTAGTTTGGTTTTCATCATGCAAAAAAGGCCAGATCGGCCGTCTTGAGCTCGTCTGGCGAGTAGAAGTCTTGTTTGTGCTTGTCAAAGAGCGCTTGGAGGGCGGCCTTGTACTTGGCATGGTGGATCTCAATCTCTTCCGAGGATGGCTTTGAAATCTGAGGAAACTCGATGGGGATGCCCACGGCCGTGAGCAGCGGTGTGCTGTTCGGCAGGGGGCCGCTGGTTAGTAGGGGCGTCGCGATGGTCAAGTGCTTGACAACGGAGTCTTGCATCGAACGCAGCCACGACCCCTGCGGGTTGGCCACCTACGTTTCCAACCATGAATACCATTGCTCAAGATGTATGCAACTTGCTTGAGAAAACATGTTGGTTTCGCCAAACGTGTACACTGGCACGACATGCGCGCCCGTCTCAAGGGCCAATTTGATGAACCCCTTGCGTTTATTGAGCACGAGGCGGTTCGTGTTTGGGTGCGCCTCGAGGGCTTCTTGGCTGCCCCCAACCAAGAGACAAGCGCTCCGACGTTGGGCTAGCACAGCCTTCAACGACCCATAGCTGGCGTCTACAATATTTAGTCGTGTAAATGATTACTAGTATCATCAATCCTTTCATATATCGTGAACGTACCCACGAAACCCAACGCGAGCAAAAGGTCTCGCCATAACGGAAGGACAAAGTTCAACCCCACCTATGTACATGTGATGTTATGAGAGCTGATTTGATGGACAGGAACGCACGGTGGCCGTGCTGAGCTGCAACTTTGGATTGTTTCGCAGGAAGTAGATCGAGTCGCCGCCCTACATACGACAAACGTGGGCATTGTTTTGAAGTGGTATGCCAGATGGGACACAATGTTGGCCACGAGGTCATACAAAGACTAGCCATGTGCCAAGGGCAATGATGCCTAGTACAGAGATATATTGTCCATCGTGAGGATAGAGTTTTGTTGGTGGTGGGATATCGTCAAGAGACCGTGGGGATGCGCGACAAACAAGTACGTTTTGGACGGATCGAGCTCCGATTCCTACGGCAGATGAGGTAGGCAGGAACCCCTTCACATGCCATGTACCTGTCGCAACGTGTGGGCAAAGTACCCTTGCTACAGCCATACATGGCTCGAACGTCAAGTACTATATATATACATCCACGCGACGTACTGCAAATTGCCACAGCCTAGAGCATGCACCGTTAGCAACTACTACACACAGCAGGACGATACAGTGTCGCACCAGTTGAAGCGCAGAAAGTTGAAAATGCGCCCGCGACCATTGTATGGAGCCTGGTCCAAGAAGATGGCCCATACGGCGTACTATACCATCACCGACATCAGCCTTCGAGTACCACGGACGAGCGGACGAATGATGCCGTCCTTACCGAGCAGAGCGCAACCCAACCGTGCGGAACCCACACCCAGATGCCAACGGCGCACGCAAGGAGAAGAACAAAGGACGAAGCGACGAAGCCGACGAAAGCAGTGCCAGATCTACATGTGACATCGTTACGCGCTTGAATAGGGTAGCACGAGGAAAGTCGCACAGCGAGGGCATGGTGGCCACCGTCGAGTTTTGCGTCAACTTGAAACGCAATATCCGGAATCCGGATACACGACCATCGCGATCACAAAAGTCCATCGGCGGTGGTGGCAAGGATAAATGCTGGCCAGCCTGGTTCAACCCAGGAAGCCACTGACTGCAGCATCACGCGAGGGAGTATCCTCGTGGATACGTTACAGCTGACCTCTGCACACATAACGTACTGTATTGCAAGTGTCTGCACGAATCTCACGTGAGCCCAGAAGTGCTGTGGAGTGAAAGTACCTTTTTGGCTCAGACATGACGCACATGCAGACTGCATGTGCGTCATGACTTACTGCATGATGCAGTAAGTCATCCGTACCTTGCCTGTCAATCCCATGTTTACCACGAACAATCTTCCTATACAGAATCACGCTCGAAATGTCCTCGTCGCCATGCTGTTGAGGAGGTGTCTATTAATACTAGTACTACGTAGTACTAGTAGTAGTTTACAGTACATGTACATTACTTATCTGTACATCGTTGACCAATGTCATAGTCATCTACTACTATGTAGTGACAAACCTGAACGAGCAACTTGAAACTTCGGCAAGTCTCCACCAACAACACGATGCTGCCCATTCTTGTACCCTCACAGATACAAGAATGGGCAGCAGGTACAAGCCGACTAGTAGGTACTAGTAGTACTTACTAGTTAACCCACCAGCTACTGTTGTTACTGTGTGTAACTCTACTACTAGTACCTACTAGTACTATGTAGTACTAGTACATACTAGTTAACCCACCAGTTAACTTGCCCGACGAGACACCACCACATTTGATATTTTACACCCATTAATCACTCACATTTACGCCACTCTGAACCGATTTGTTGCCCATGTCAAAACAGCAAAAAGTCCTTGACCATGCGCTCGCCCATGGTTTCAAACAAGAACAAATTGTGCTCGCTCCATGGCAGATGGGCAAAGCGTCCGTCGGCGGCCATCATCCGATCCAGCACCACGTTGGACTCTGCGTACCGGCGGATGATGTGCTCGCAGAAGCTGTCGTATGTGTTGGTTTCCGAGTACAGACGGCGGCCAGACGCGTAGCTCGCGCACCGGTACGACTCGACCGACGTGCCGGCGACGCCATTGAGCACGAACGGCGTGAAGACGACCCATTTCTTGAACAGCCAAGGCTCGGTGGCGGGGTCGCCGAAGTCCGTCGGACCGAGTACGCTCTGCTGGCACACGAGAAGCCGCGGGCCATCCGTCATCCGCGCGAGGATGCTATTGTAGCTCACGGTGGGGACTCCGTGTACGAGGAGGCTCCACTGCCCGATGGTTCGGCTCGACACGTACGCCATGTCGTCATTCAGCGGCGCCACTTTGAAGTACTCGGATGGATGCAAGCAAGGATGGGTTTCATTGAGCGACGTTTCCCAGCAAAAGTCAAACAGGTCTTGGGGCACACATGCTGGAAAGAACTTGTGGTTGTGGAAAGCGTAGTTGCGGTCGGTGATGCTCAGACGGATGCGCCAGCCATCCATTTGGATTGGCAGCGACGAGATCGAGTCTGGACTGAACGACTTGCTTTCGAGGTTCAAGTTCACGCGAAGGAATCCGCCAATCGTCAGCAGTTCGTCCTTGCGCTTGCCGTCGATCGTTGTCGTATTGGCGTCGGGGTGGTCGGTGGTGGTCGGCGGCGTCGAGTTGGTTGGGGAAGGCGACGTCAACGGCCCGCCGCCCACCGGAAACGAAAACGCTGCCAAGTTGTTGCTGCTGCTAGTAGCCGGGATCCCTTCGTCGTCTGACGAGCTGTCGTCTTTCGGGACGCGCGTGACGCTTGTGAGTTCTTCCATGAGGTGCTCGGTCTGGTCGAGTAGAGTCGTGTCGACGCGGGCGCACTGCTTGGCGTGGTCCCGCATGCACTTGCGAAGGTCTACCACATGCGATCGAAGGAACTGTAGCTCGACCTTTTGCTTTCTCCTGCACTTGCGGCTCGCGGCGTTGATCTTGAGCTGGCGTTCGCGGGATACTTTGACCTTCTTGGATGTGTCCTTGCCCCCCTTGGTCGGCGGGGATGACGACGACGACGTGGTGGCTTTGGATCGTGGCATGCCCGTCGATGGTCTGAATGTTGAGGAAGAGGATGTCATGGGTGCAACACTGCGCAAGAGCGACTGCATGGGATGCATGGACAGGTGTATCTGATGGAGGTGGGACGTCACCCCCGACGTGGTACTGGACGAGGATGGGGCCGCTGCTGCTGGCATGCGCAACACCATGTGGGGATGCTCATGCTTCATCATGGCAGACGGCGTGGAATTGGAAAGTGACCTTGGCTCGCAAGTGTCATCAACGGCAGTGTTGGACGATGGCAGCAGATCCATCTTGTTGACTTGGGACTTTTGGTTGGATCCACCTCTTGACGAATTCGAACGGAGGAACCCACACAAATTGCACCCATTGGGGACGCACTTTCGTACACGTACAACAATGTACATACTTATAATACAAAACTACCGTCTGATATTCGTACGTACGTACTTGTACATCGTACGTGCATTCGCGGTCAAAATAGCTTTGTCCGGTGAAGTTCTGGCTCGAGTTTGCGTCCCACTGTCCGTGGCAAAATGCAGGGTAAAGTACCACAGGAAAATAATGGCAAGTTCTTGTGGCTCCCAGGTGTTGGTTCCAGCCGTCAAAACGACGAGTCTGCAGCCAAAGCATCGCAAAACGTTACTAGTACTTGTGCGCTGCACCACTGACCGGTATATGTATTCACCTCAAACAATAATACATACTAGTATATGCTTTCGAGTGAACGTTAGTCCTTGATGGCCTCTAAAGAATGAAACGGTTCAACGACAGTGTTGCGATGAGTGATGGAAGGGCTATCTTGAGCTGACGTACATACCGGTACTGTAGCTGGTCGGGTTGTTGCAAGAAGCTTCAATCCAATCATGATCTTCTAGCTTAACGTTATGTAGTACGTCCAACTGCATTTTGGCGGAGGGCTTTTCCGTTTGGAACTCCAATCAACCGAGCCGTTGTGTACCTCATTTTCAAAAGAATGGAATAATTCCTGTAAACAGTTCCTCTGTTGTTTTGACCTGTGAAACATGGGGATACTACGTAGTACTGTACTACGTAGCATACAGTATGTCCTATATATATTACCTCATTGATGGAGTGGTTCAGTGGTTGTCGATAGCTAGCTAGCTATGAATAGGTACTACAGTACAGTACTTCGTAGTAGACATTAGGGCCTGTTCCAAGTATTAATAACCACTGGCGATGCAGTTAACCCATAGTAAGAGGTGGTCCGAGTAAAGAGTATACAAAGTCGCTCAAATTGCAGTGACTTCTGAGAATAACAATAGTGGTACATTTTAATGAGGGATTTGGGTTGATCATTCCTATTATTTTAATAATAGGAATGATGCTGAGCATTGCTTGTTGTTGACCGATCCTTGTACTCGGAGTACTATTATTAAAATAATAGTATTTGTTGACAATAGCTTACTCCCTCAACAACAAGCAATGCTCAGCACCAGAAACAGAACGAGCCATAAAATTGGAAATTGGCGCGACCTCATACAGTACTCTTGTAACGTTAATGCCATTGATTGCGTCGTGAACATTATTCACTGGTGTGGACCACAAAAACTGGTTCGAAATTGAATGCATGGCCGAATAAACAAACTATGCAACCTTGATCAACGACAAATTCCAACAACGGCCAAGGGTTTGTTGTCGGATTTGACAATGGGAGACTTCTAGGGATATCGCTTCATTGGAAACAAGATTTAGAGACCAGCAGCGAAGCGTGTACACGTACTGTACTTAACGCAAACTAAAATCCCCCCCTGCATGATTTCGAGTCTCAAGAGTGACTTCACAACGAATGTCGTGCGCACGATGACAGCCTCACACACCAAACTATACATTATGTTGACCTAAGCAATTGCTCCCAGCTAACCAGGTTGACCCGCTAGGATGCTGAATTACCGTTTTTATTGTTATTACGTGACCTGTCAAACCAAAATGCGCAGCAGATGTACACGTCTTCGTAGTACGACAAAAATCGTCAGTGCCAACTACAGATCGAAGCAAACGACTTGTCCCGAACCTAAAGTTTGTCCGCTTCGACGCGGGGTGCAGGAAGTTGCCCATTAGACGAGCATACTGGTTGTACACGTTTGACACGCCAATAAGCTCGTAGCCTTCAAAGCGCAGGAAAACACCCCCCCCCCCGAGCAAACCAAACACATCTGACCCCCCGTGGCGGAAGTGCCGGCTCCGCACCCGGTGCAAATGGCTTCCCCTGACGTCGAATACATACATGTGGCGCAAGCTGGCCGGTTAACGGCCCCAGCGACGGCAGACGATGTGCCTGCAGGGCAATCGGTGATGGCCTATTCGCTGCCAGTCGAGTACGAGCAACACCCCCACGATACCAAAAGGGCGCAACTTACATGGCGCCCATTTTGTGTCGTGGTGAACGATAATACACCTCCGGACAAGCAAGTGTTGACTCATATTTCAAGCAACGGCAAGACATCACCATCAGTCTAAAATGATGTTTCGATACAATAGTCGTCCAAATACTTGGACGAGACGCAACCTAAGCTAACTGGAACTTTGCATCCGCGAGCACTTTCACCTCCAAGCTGAGCGCTTGCATTTCACTTTTCATGGCGTTGAAGAGGTGGATATGCCCGTCTTGATCTTGGGCTACCATCAGCAACGCGTTGGTTTCCCCCGCTTCCAAGTCAGATTGGTATATCGACGCCCGCTTCGTTGGCCCCGATGCGTTGAGCTGCGACTGGCCCGCGGACGCCAGGCCTTTGGACGCCATGGCTCGGATCACAGTCGGGTGTTCCGGCAGTCCAAACCGAATGGTCTGGCTCGTGAGGAACCATTGGATCGTGCACAGCGACCGCGCCGACATGGACGCGACCTGTCCCTTGTAGTCTGGGACGTTCACAAATCGGAACCCAACGTCGGCGATGACCGACGTCGAGTTGTACATGAGCTGCCGACCCAACGAATTCTTGCTGACGTGGCGCCACCACGTGTGGTTCACGACCCAGTCCAACGTTAGAATGATAAATAAGTTGACAAACATGATCATCATCAGGCTTGGGTACCCCCGCATGAGCGTGCTGTTGAACATGTTTACAGCGATACCGTCAAGGTTTTGCTGGGTCGATGTCACCTGAGCAACGTCGGCCAAGCCGTAGTCAAGAATGTGGTTGCGCAGGGCAAGGATGAGCCCTGCAATGTAGACAAACCCGGGGCTGCTAAAGTTCAAGTACGCGACCAACCGGTTTCGACCTGTGTACCGCGTGGAGTTGGTGAAGTTGACCACCCATTTGATGGCCTTGACAAAGAAGCAGTTGAGCCACATCCACCGAAAGTTCATGGCGAGGATGCGAATAAACACCCACGTGCTGTCGGCACTGGGCGCCGTGTTCTTGTTCCACGAATGCATGGCCCGCGAGTAGACATTGCATGTCTTTTCGTCCAACAGGACCGCGACCACGTACCCCACGACGAAGAAGTCGCTGTTGAAACAAAAGTAGGAAAAGTCAAACGTGCGGCACGGGTACCGCAGCAGTGTCGGCGCCAACATATGCCCGAGCTTCTTGACCCACGTCGTGAGGGTGGAGCCGTCCGTCCACCGCACGGTCTTTTGACTCGTGGCGAATACGGCTGTGACAAATAGCACGGCGAACCCCCGCACGTACAGCGACCCCATGGTCACCCCCGAGCGCTCAATGAGCAGTCCCAGAACGTGACTGTTGCCGAGGACGGCGGCGCTGGACTCGACGACCAAGGTTCGAGTGCTTGCGTTGTACGACGTGACGACGGAACACACGTCCAAGCCGAGCACGGCGATGGGGTCGCATCCTGAGCAATACGCACGGGCGAAGTACTGAAACATGGACACGTTCGTCGAGACTACAGTGCCGGGGGGTGGGATGGTGACGGGCGTCGTGAGCCGCATGTCCGTGTCCGTGCGCGAGGGGGTGTAGCCCAACGAGACGAGGTCCTCGTGCTTGCTTTCTGGTGGCGGGGGGGCGCCGAGGCCGAAGATCACGTTGGACACCACGTAGCCCCGCACATACTGCACACCGTCTTTGATCACACCGAGCTTGATGGTCGAGCCCACGTCAGTGTAGTTCGGTAGCGGGTACGATTGCTTCAATAGGTGGCAAATGTCGTCGACGGGGCTGTCGATCAAGAATGACTCGGCCGTGAGCACGTACATGCTGTTGTCGTGGGCGTGGATCTTGTTGAGCGTAAAGTTGAGCATATACAGCCCGACGTTGGACGTCGTGTCCAAGGAATAGCCCCGGGCGAAGGTGAAGGTTTCCGTGAGTTCGGCGGGCGACGCGATGTTCAAGACGGCGTTCAGCATCGAGTTGGCGTTGCCAATCGTGTGATTCAGCTCCCAGTTGTTGGTCGTCACGTCCACAAGCACAAGCACAACACACATCGCCGACACTAAAAACTTGAGAGCCGGTGGGCCATATTTGACCAAGACGTAACTCATCGTCGTGTCGTGAAGAAGCAGGGGCATGGTCCTTCGGTTCATGGTTTCGACAGTGCTCGGATTGCACGATACGTTTCATGGTTCCAGTCAAATTGTCCTGCTATGGTGTATTTTGAATATGTAACAATAATGTTGCATTCACAACCAAAACTACAAAAAGATGCGCACAGTGTTGGTTTGGATGTAACATTTTTTTGGTCGAAATATATATGCACAGAGTTTTGATCGTTACAAAAGTACCTATGTAACCGCAGCGTCAGTTACATAGGCTTGTCGTTTATGTCTAAAGTTATGTCAAGTAGGAATTGTGTGGGGGAGATTTTATCCATAACAATAGTAAATTTAGATGCCGATGTCTTGATAACCGGCGTTGTGGAGATTGCCTGCATGTGCAATCGGGTGCGACGCAGTCACTTCACCTAAAAGCGAAGAAGTTCTCGGTCCATTAACGTTATACGATTGAAGCATGCAAACAATCACACATCGAAAACGTGGGGGTAGAAATATCACCCAACACTTCCACCATGCCATAGTATACTACTAATAATATACTGGTATACGGTACCTCCATCCAAATCAACGTTATACTACCAGGTAGGTACTGTACACGCCATCGCCAACACTAACAATCTCGGCATTCCTTTAATATGTACAATGATTTTCTACCGCCATCTACCGGTACTACTTGGTCATAGACAACGAATCGTTGCCATCGAGGGGTGCCTTGATTGGTCATCTGGATCCTATTTTACGTACAGTCATTCGTTTTTTCGAGCATACCCAGGGCTATATATTTGAGCTATCCAACGGTATGGAGAACGCTAAAAATACTAGTCACCACGATCTACCTGCAGGCGAGGCACTTGTGTTGGTAATGTGAACTTACTGTAAACTGGTAGTCATTATGGTACTGCCAATTGTTCGACAGCACTCTACTGTAGTAGCTGCGGCGGACGTCCAGTTGCTTTTCGGACGCTCTAATGTTTCATCTATAGCATTTCATTTGGGTACTGCACTTGGTCAGTAGTATGCAGGGGCTCCAAGTCACACTAAATAGTCCTTTATCACACTATTTAGTCCTTTATCCTACAGGTTGCTCCACATTTAGCGTCGAAAGGAGCACGATTCATGAGCATGTCGTCACGAGCCCCATTTGCCGAAATGCCCCAGAACATTCTGAGCCATCACAGTCGATGAGGGCATAACCACCACTCTGCGTGAAACACTATTTTCTTTGCATTCAAGAGTTGTTTTAACGGCTTGGTATACCAGGAATAACGCCACGTGTTGTGTTCACAGCATTTTCATTTATTCCACCATCCAACTAAAGCTTCTACGGCGCTTCTGCAGTTGGCTTCGACCATGTCCTCCGGGATGTTCAGAGCTGCTCACTCGAAGCATCAATTGGTCGCCATCGAAAGTCATCGCGTTTTTGCATGCACAGGAGCTGCAGTCCTCCCCCCCACAAAACAATTGGGTTGAACATGCAAAACAGCTTATTTATGTTGAACTGTTCTCCGTATGACGATTCGTGTGGGCATCGACCTTATCCGCGAATTCGTGCTACGTCTATCCCAAATCTACCCGCCGCGGTTGTCCACATACGTCACGCTGCGATTGCAGAGTCCTTCCTTCCACGATGGCTACCCAATCCGGGCCAAACTAACTTTCCAGCCATCCATGACATCTGCACCGTGACAGATGAACGACCGCAACCGACGCTCACGAGTTATTGTGGACCTTGCATTCATCGAGCCACCGAGTGCTCGGTGAACTGGGACATGCGGCCCTGGGTTGACAAGTACGTGAAGAATCAACGACACTGCGTTTGGAGTTCTCTGGTTACCGCGACGGATGGTTTTGAGCGTGTCGAGCGCGTTCGAAAGTGACGACATGCCGGCGAATACGCTCTCATAGCCCTGTAATAATGCGGTCAAGCTTAGTCAGCTTGTGCCAGTGGTATGACTACAATGTTAACAACGATAAAATGAGGTTTCCAACTAAGCCATACTCAAGTCTACAGTACATTACCATCCACTCCTCGACGGCAAGTGGGGTGTGTGAAACCGTCCAAGACCCAAACCGACGGTTTCACGCAGGAGTTTCAGTTTCTTCAGGTAACAGTGGAAGCCAAGGCCATGGCGGCATCGTCCGTGGGGTTTACGAATCTCGCCGACGTGGCGGGGACTCCTGGCGATAGCAAGGACACCTCGCCACCCATGGTACCTTTGCAACATGTAGCATCTTGTTTCGACTGTGCTTGCACTACATGACCAGTTGGTGGAGTTTGACGATGCGATTGTTATAGAGGTTGTCCACGCCATCTAAATCCACCAACGACCGACATAAAAAGAAAGTTCATGGCACCTCAAGACGGTAGGTACCGTGGTCGTGGCTGCAAAGTGACACTTGTCCTTGTGGTGTGTCGTAGGCTGTTGCCGTTGGACTTATCGGCGTTTGACATGACACAAAAGTCCAAGCGCATCTTCCAAAAGAAGGTAAACTGGACGTTTCCAAGCGATGAAGGGCGTGTCATTCGTGTGGAATGAAAACGCGGGTAGGACTTGGCGGAAGCCGTGCGTCGGGTCAACATGCCCATCATGTTGCTGCAGCGCGACCCGCCGCCATCCGTGTCGGAAGTGCCAGAGTCGGATGCGGCTGCCGCGGGCAACAAGGACGTGGCGATTTTGGAGGACGGCGTCAACATCAACGCGCGCAAGTACAACGAACGGCGGCGAGTGGCGGTCGCAAAGGAGAAGGAACTGCACCACTTGCTCGACGAGTTTAAGACGATGCAACTCGAAACGGAAACCCTCGAGAAAATACACAACCAAGAGTCGACCGGGGCCAAGGAGATCCAACGGCTGAACGCCGACATTGACGAGTGCATGTTGTCCATGGAAGAAAAGGCAACCAATCAACCCCCTAACGGACGGTGGTGGTGGGTGGCTAATGCTGCTGTGGATATGTAGATGCACACGCGGCGGCAGCTCGAACACATGATTCGGCGGTTGCAATCGAACCAGGTCAAATTTGACTCGCATATTAGTGCCATGTCGGTGGCCGTAGAAGCCAGTGTCCGCGAGGCGGAAGACGTCCGCGTGCTGTGTCGGCAGTTGGAAGCCGGCAAAAGCCGTACGATTCAAATGCTCCAAGAGTACGTTGGCTGTTTAAACGAGACTTTCATTATCACAATCATCGATCAACTGTCATGACTATATATATATAACATCATGTGTGTGCGTGGTGGGGCTTTCCTTTTACATTCGTGGTCGTTAGCTTGCAGCAACAAATTGTCGTCGAGCGCAAAATCAGGGGGCGGGAGCTGTCTGAAAACTCGATCAAAGCCAAAAACGCAGAGCGCATGGAGCAGTGGCGGCTCAAGCGTATCAAGCAACGATCCGAGCTCGCTGCTGAAGTAACTATGGAGGATCTACTGTGGTTCACAAACGACAGACAAATGGGTTGTGACGACGATAATGGTGTAGCTTCGGGGCGACTTGTCTTTTGACGAAGAGCGAAAACTGCTGCGCGAGATCGACTTCAAGCGCAAGGCGGGCAGCGACTTGAGCGCGGCCAACATGGAGATCTCCCAGCGGGCGGCCGACCACGACCAAGTGTTTATGCAGATGAAGCAAGTGACCGGCGCGAGCAGTCTGCAGGACGTCGTGGACAAGTTCGCAGCACAAAACAGCAGCAACGCGTCGCTGGAAAAGGAAAAAGCGCGCGCTGAAGCCCGGCTCGCGGCCGCGAAAGCGTCCAAGGAAGGCGCGATCAAGTCGCTAAATGACCTCAAGGCATCCGGCATTGGCGGCATCGAACTGAATCGGTACTTTATATCTAGATCCTCGACGCTACAGTGTTTGAGTTGCATGTTGTTGTGTGCGTAGCGACGTGTACACTGCGTTGGAGAGCGAAATTCTGGTTGCCAAGGGCCAACTCAAAGGCAACAAAGCCGCGTACGACTGCCTCGATGGTGTGCTGGCGGCGGTGCGACAAGGTGCTAGCAGTCTCGTGCAGCGCCTGGTTCCTTTCGACGTACGTCCCCAACTCTATCTCATGACAACAAATCATCCATCGTTATCACATCAACTATACAGGCGTCGTATTTTCGTTGCCTTTTGACCCGAAGATTTGGACTTTTATGCTGAATTTTGACTGTAAAAAGTATTTTTCCCACACAAATTCGATGTTGGTGATGGGTTCCTGCATTCTGGTTGGCTAATTCCACAGAACGAGACTAATCTGCGGGGGGGGTAGGACTTGCTCGAGATCAACGACGAAGCATTGGCGGCGCTGACAGGGAAAGACTCGGCCAACGACTTGTTGGCGGTGGCGGAAATCAAGTTTGCCAAGGTGCTCGAACTCGTGGGCCAGCAAAACGGATCCGTCGGGGGGTTCAACGGGTATGGCGGGGACGCCGACGACGGCTTCGACGACCATGCCCGGGGCGGGGGGGACGTAGGGGACGACGTCAAGCACGCGGTGTGGACCCCCACCGGCAACAACGACCCCGTTGTGCATCGAAACAACATCCGCGTTCAGGCGCGGCCAGGGGCGTCGGCACCTTCGTCCGGACCCCCCGACAGCGCCCGATCCGACGTGTCGTCCGCGGCTGGCGGCGGCGGGCTGCTCGAAGACGAGGAAGAGGCCACGGATGGGGTCATGGATGTGTTGGTGCCGTCGCGCGATATCCTCAAGATGAGCAGCAACCGCCATTTTGCCGAAATCATGCGAAAACAAGAGGTACTATATATATATATATTATTATGATTACACGTACATGTATATACAATATATATATGCTTGAAGTAGACTATTATATTTATATTATTAATACGCCTCCATGTATATAATATTCGTATTTATATCTATTATACATATATACTTTGTATATATTTTATTATATATTGGACACAAGAAAGTGGAAGCTCATGATTTTTGACGACGTACAGCTCGCGGAGAAGCGCAAGAACGCGGCGGAACGGGGCATTTCGGACGAAGAGCTGACGTCCAAGCTCAAAAAGAAGAACCAGGTGCCGTTGCATCTATATTTTGTGGTCGATGGGATGATGACGCTGACGACGATGGTAGAACGAAGCGGACAAGCGGCTGTCGGCCAACCCGACGTCGAGACTGGGCCTGCCGCCGGGCGTGTGTCAGAAGGACGATGCGATCACAAAGTCCACGGCATTTGTGACGCAGATGCCCGCGTTGCTATGACGCTGTTAGGTTATAAGGACGTCCGACCCCCTCGCCCAGGTTTCAACGCGATCCGTATGGTATATCGAGAGTGTGAAAGGTATCCGTAAAAAGTATGAAAAACAATTTCAAAAACGAAAAAGGAAAGAAATGTTCGCGTATCCGGATGTTCCGGATACAATTTCAAAAAGAAAACCAAATCAAAGGAATGCGGTCTGGCTTATCCGGATATTCCGGATAATGATTCAAACATGGCACCAGTAATATTTCGCGGCGGCAATGAATCCGTCGCGGCTGAACGTCCTGACGAAGCGACAGAACGAAGCGCATGCCGCTCGTCTTCGGAGCCAATACTCGTCTTCTCGAGGGGCGATGGCATTTCTTCTCATGACAAGTCTTCTCGTGCTGCTGCCGTATGTATCTGCCTGGTTTTCGTCGGCCATTGTTGCATCCATCTTTGTCGTGCTGCCCGGTATGCTGCATGCAACGTCTTCGCCCTGGAGTCATATTCATTTCAAGGGACGCATATAGGTTACGCGGTGGCATTGATCAGTGGCCTTATTGCTGTCAAGGCAGCGTACGTCGCCGTGGTCAATCAGTGGACCGATTTCCACGTACGTTCACGACCGGAGGAATGTCCCGTGCCGCGAAATGTATTCAACGATCCATGCCCTAGGTCCCAACTACGACCGCAAAGCAAGCTGAGACAGCACCACATGCAGACACGGGCTTACGTCAGCGAAAATGTACGTCGAACTTTGCATCCACATTCTCCCGGCTACACACACCAACGCGTTGTATGCGGTAGTTGTGGTGCCGGAAGTTGTCGGAGAGGTGATACCCCTTGAATCTTCTTCGCAGAGCGTCGTGCGCAAAGCACCGTCCATCATCTCCACGGAGGCGGAGCTGCTTCCGTACCGACCAACGACGGACGAGGCCGACATGAGTGAGCCGGCCACGCTGAACTTTGGGTTTGGCATGGAAATGTCGTCAGCCATCAACCCCAACGGACTCTACGCCCATACATATGCTGTCATGAAGCCGTCGGCGAAACCTCCGGCGCGAAAGGAGCTCGAGTCGGCCCTCTCGAGCGCTCCGCATGTGGACAAGGCGCACGAGGTATGTTTTGATGATATATGTTTATTTCCTCAATGGACATTTCAAACTGTTCAACCGTATATTGTGCTTTCGAGTGAAATTTCGTAATATTATATATAAAAATTTGATTTATTTTTTATCGTGTTGTGGAATTTAAATCGATTTGATTGGCTACCCCAGAAGAGCTCAACATTATTAGCGAATCAAAACCCTCTCAATGAAATTCAACAACCAATCAGATCGATTGCACCCCCTCACCCAAATTTGTATCAAATCGACAATATTCGAACTGCATTTTGTTTCGAAAAAGGATGGAAAGCACACTAATTTAGTATGTACACCACACAAACTCGGTTGATTCAGTCACACTAATTGAGATCATACACCCCTTGCATGTTGATATTCTGAGTTGCATCACACTAATTTAGTTCATACATCATTGCAATGTGGATGATATTCCGAGTTGCAATAAATTTAGTTATTATAATACCCCCCTTTGATTCTAAAAGTTGTTGCCGCATACACTGATGTCCATAGTATATATGTCACGGTCTCGTTTGGAATGATATTTGAACCCTATATATATATATATATATATGATGATGATGTAGGTGTTGGCGGATTGCCGCCTCAAGCCACGGCACATGGGCAACCTCTGCGATACGCTGCGGCATGTGCTGGCGCAGCATCTGCAGGACGTCCTCGGCAACTTTGCGCAAAACATGGATGAACTGTCCAAGCTGGGTCTCCGACGGGACATGCTCGTGGACGTCGCCGCCGTCCATCCGGTTGTGTCCATCCACGTACCCGGGGAACCCGCGCCGCGGTCGATTCCGAACGTATCGATGAAGCATGTGATCGATATGGCCCGGTCCGAGCCAGTGTTTGCGTCCCGCGCGCGGCCAAACGTCCATCTGTTGCGCGAATATGAATCGGTACACATCATTCATCACACTAGAATCGTTGGTTCCACCGACATATTTATATTAATATCGACTTTTGGGCTATATCTATCATCGATCAAATTGTTTGTAACTGAAATATTTTGGATGCATAACCGTAGAGATACATATCACACTAATTGCAAGTCACACACTAATTAGCTGATGATCGGTTGACCTGATGATTTCCTGGAACCTGATTGGCTAAGTGCTTCTGGCGATTCGTCGGTACCTTTGGTTTTTCTCCATGTCGCTCGAGTTTACTGTTAGAATAAACTATTGTATACGGATTTCCAGACCCCGTCGAATCGAATCGACGCTATTGGCTACTAATCCATTTTTGAGTGGATTTGATTGGCTCTTAGAGAAAGAAGGACACGTATATTCAACCAATCAGAACTCCGGTGTGATTCAATAGTGATTCGACAAAACCACGCGAGAGTGTTTGTACTTCATGTTATATAGTGTACATCACACTAATTTGTGTCCTATCAGAACTTCAGCGTTGATTCAATAGTGATTCGACAAAACCACGCGAATTTTGCAAGTTTATAGCGAATATTCACAATACCCCACCGATATTCGAGGGTTTGTACTTCATGTTATATAGTGTACATCACACTAATTAGTGTCCTACACCAATTCCTTGTCGATTGGTTTATTCACTTGCCAATAACTCTTCGAAGACACAACACATATTATTTCGATTGAAACATATACATGACGTTTTGGGTGTACATAGTTGATCAAGTACTTTGACGTGAAAGAAGAGTACAGCACGGCTTACGCGATCCACCGGCTGCAAACGCTGGGCGAAGACGGGTTCCTGGGCCCGTACCGGTGGGACAGCGGGGGCAAATGGAAGGGGAAGCCGTGGACCAAGGACGCGATGCTTCCGTCCGATGCCGAGCTCATCATGAACCTCTTCTGCGCCATGCTGGACGACGTGCTCCCCGCCACAAGCGACACAGATCGGCCGTTCCGTCGCGCACACTACGCGCCGTCGCCACCTACCAAGTCGGCGAGCATTCGCGGCATGTTCCTCATCTTCTGCAGCCAGGTCTCCCCGCCCAACTTTAAAGTGATTGCAAACGGAGCCGTGTGGGAGATTCTGCCTGGCAAGACCAATGTGTTTCAAGCGATCGTGCTGTTTCTGCATGCAGTCAAGACGTACAAGTCGGTACGTCGTTGGCTTCATTCATGTCATGTTGTTCCATCGCAGCATGATGGGCGCCGTGACTCTAGCATGATGCATCATGTCATGTGTAGGGCCATCTCGGCAACATCAACCTCCACGTCCTGCTCGAAGAGATCTTTGACAAATAATGGAAACTACATTTTGATTGGCCGTCATAAAAGATTAGATGAATGGATAATAGATGAATCGTTTAAACGAATGTTTCATTAGCGTCATCTATTATTTAAATAATTAATAGATGATGCTCGTTTACACAGGGCGGTAGTAAATGAATACCATTTATTATGAAGAACTTTTCATTTTCTCGCATGACGATGGCGGATGTCGAAGAAGATCCAAGCAGTCGATTCGTGGACTACACGAATGAGACAGACTGGGAGCGCTTCATCGCGGCCGTGGAAGACGCGTTACTTCAGTGGGGTCTCAACGATCATGGCGCGATGCCAGAAGGTGTCACGTCCGACAAATTCAAAGTGTTTGGGTTGCAAAACTCGCACTACCTCCTCCGGCTGCACCAAGAAGACGTCCTGCATGCTGCTCCTCCACCTGCTGCCATCACCATCCGCAATGCTGCTGCTGCTTCATCGTCGACATCTACTTTGCATTACACGCCGACACTAGCTAGCATCGCCGATCCGCGGCTGGACTTGACGTCGCCCCCCGAGTCATTGCATCGGTACTTTGGCTGCGACACATATCTGCTCTTGTATCGGTACCATCTCTTGGCGTACAACGACACGGAAGACACGATCACACTGGACACGACGGCAGGGGTTCGCGACGACGAAGTCCACGTCCTCCTGAGCAGTCTCATGGTGGCGCTGGGTAACTGCAACTGCACGTTGCCGGCGTTTGTGGTGGTGGGCGACCTGGACAACCAGCGCTTCATGGGTGTCGCGGCGCCGGGGCTTCACAGCAGCATCTCGATGCAATTCGACACGAACAAAGTCCCCGAGGTAAGGCGCCGCCATCTCTCGAACGCATGGACGGACTCCTTCCTCGTCCTCGTAGGTGCCCGCGGCCCAGCATTGCATCAGCGGCCTCCTCGATCTCTTTCGGTTCAAGCTGGAGCAGATCCCTTCATCCAACAGCAACACCTTTCATGCATTATTCTCGGCCTCGGTGGTGTACCATTACGACTGGCATCCGCCGCCGCCGCCACCAGATTCGTCCTTGGTACAGTGGACATCTCCATTCTCGCCATGTTTAACAGCACGCTGCAGTTGGAATGGAGACACGCCGCAGATGGAAACCATCAGCACCACGACCTGTGGAAGTACATGACGTGGGGACCGGTCAAGTCGCCGCTCGTGTCGTTGGCGTTGCAAGCAGGATGGACATCCCTTCAAGAAGGTTCATGAGTGTGTCATGTATCATCCATATTGTATTGCGATATATCTAGTGTGCCATTATATTCACTTTTGACTTGGTCGACGCTATACTCGTTGTTTGTATGATGGAATAATACTATTGTGATTTTCGCTATATTCAATCAATATTGAACAATCACGCTGGAAAGTTCTGATTGGTTGAATATACTTGTCCTTCTTTCTGTAAGAGCCAATCAAATCCATTGAAAATTGGATTAGCCAATAGCGATGATTCGATTCGACGGGGTCTGGAAATCTGTACCGAATCCACAATATATATATATATATATAATGAAATATTGCACACCTTTGTTGCCCTGTTGAACGTACGACTTGTTGTTTCCAGGCACGTTTGTCGACAATGCAGTCCACTCGACGCTCAACCCGATGGAAGCGCCGACGTTTCTCCTCACGTCTTTGCTTCACTCGTCCGCCCACAGCGGCGGCAATCCACCGCTGCCGCCCATGGCCCAGAGTCTGCAGCAGTTGGTGTCCAATTTGCACCACGCCCGATCTGTCACTCGCGACGTGCTCGTGTCTGAACTCGCCACCACGGCGCACGTGTCGTCTCCGGTAGTCCTTCTCTTTCAACCATTCTATGTTTATTTATATATATATATTATTACAAGTCTATGTCGAATATATAATTATATATATATTAATTTTGCAAGTCTATGTCGATTATATATGTTTATATATATATATATTAGAATCGAAACAACCGCTCAAAACTCAACAAATCGAAAACATCACTGTTAATATATGTATATTATTATCAAACACATTAGAAAATTAAAAAATAACCATCACGAGACATTTCACGCATCGAATTCATACCAAAGCGCCAAAGTCGTTGTTATTCTCAACCTCGAGTATGATATGTTTGTGTTTTCGCAGAAAAAGTCTCCATCGAGATACCAGTCGCGGGTCCCAGCTGCGCGCGCAGCCGCTGTGATCGGCCATGCGATCGGGTCGTGGGTGAGTCCGGCCGATGCGGAGATCCCTGCCATGTTGGCGGCGGTGTTGGAACCCACGACGACGGACGGGGGCCCGTGGTGCCATGCCCCCACCTGTCTGCAGCACGCCGTAGTCGTGGGGCAGTTAGTGTCGCGCCTGGCACTGCAAATGTCGAGGTTGGGTACGTGAAAACCCAGTTTGATTGGTGGAATATTGACCAATCATAGAGGACTTGCAGGCGCAGTGTGTGCTGTGGGTCGAGTTTGTGCGCGTGTTGCGGGATCAGTGGAGGACGCAGCAACTGCTGCCACACATGGTATGAATGTCCGACGCAAGAAAAATAGTTTTTTTCTATCTTTTTTTTTATGACATTTTTTGTAGGGTCTTGGACGCGATGGGATGCTGAATCCGGTGGAAGTGGACCCGTTGGACGGGATTTCCATGCCAACTCCAGACTTTCACTTCAATTTGCTGCATCAAAAGCTGCAATTGCTTAACCTGTGCATCGTCCGGTACGTGGGAAAATTGTCCCCCTTCTATTACATACTATATATATAGATTGAATATATTTATATTATGATATATATATAGATATATACATTGATATGGCGTATCAGTTGGTTGTGTTGTGGCAGGTTTGAAACTCATTCGATTATTTATAATTAATTTATACATGTATATATTATATATGTTGTTATGGAAGGATCTAACGTAGCATGGTTTGCATGGTTTGGTGACATGGTTGAAACACTTTCTTTTATTGTTCAAGTTCATGCATATATATATATATATGGGTGGCAATCGATATAGCATCGTCGTATACAATCCCAAATCGTAGTGTCCCCGTTGGGTGGCATGCTTGAACAACGAATATATATATATATATATTATTTGACATGCATGGATATATTTCATCTATCTTGTTGATTAGCCGGGTCCGCCTGCCGTTGAGTCGCCGACAGAGCCACGCGACGGACGACGACGACGAGTTCTTCGACTCTCTGGAGGAGCTGCCGTGCGTGGGGGTGCTTCGGTCCGTGGAAGGCCACCGCCTGCTCCACCATCCGACCAAGGATCTGCATGTGCCTGTGACACAGGACGCGGTGCCGCTCACGGAGGACATTGCCAAGGAACAGCAGGATATTTTAGCCAAGTGTGTTTAGTCTCTTGATCTTACTCGTTAGTTTGCTTACCCATGTACTATATGGCGAGTAGATTGGGCGTATCGGCGGAATCGACGCTCCTCCGCCAACAGATTCAAAGCACGTCCATGTTGTCCGACATGCAAGCGTTCAAGGTAGAGTAGCTGTAGCCAATCATTGACATATATATGGTACTACAGGGACCTCGATAGGCGGCCAACCCGTTGAGTTGTTTGGCAGACTTTATTCGATGGTACTCGCCGCGGGACTGGAGCGAGTGTGACGGGGAGATCGTGGTGGACATGCAGACGACGTTCCCCCAAGGACACCTCTCAGCCCGCATGAGCCACCACCAGGATGCCAATCCGTGGCAACTCATGTGGACGTCGGCCGCCGCCGTGCCCGCCGACAAGCAAAAGCCGCTGTTCGATGCCCCCACGGAAGCGGAAAAGCTGTTTCATTATTTGGAAACCATGGCCCCCGCCACGTTGCTCTATCACATGGTACGTTGCCAGAACTATATATATATATATATATATATATATATATATATATTGAGCAAGTTTGGACATGTGGGCTGATGCACCAAACATCCGTCGGTGTTTGGTGTATTGTATACTGACATTTGTCTGTGCAATAATTTGGGACGACATTCACACTATTTCAAGTTCCATACACGAACCAAAATTCGACGGTTGCCCGATTTTGATTGGCCACTTGATTAGCGTTGTGGGTTTTGATTGGTTAGTTGATGAGTGTTGTGGGTTTTGATTGGCCACTTGACGAGTGTTGTGGGTTTTGATTGGTTCCTTGATGAGTGTTGTGGGTTTGGATTGGTCGGTCGATATTGTCTGTCGATTTGGTGTCATTTCAAATGTATGAATCATCATGGACATAATATGTTTGAGATGCACGTGATGTCAGAGTACCTGACCCTACTGGTACGTACCTATCTCATCAGGTGGTTGCGACGCTGTCAAATGCATCCGTGTTTTGGCAAGTCGCGATGGGCCACGAGTGGCTGGAGGCGTTCCCAGTGTTTGTGAGCGTTCGCGACCACTTTCAAGCCAAGTGCAACAAGGCGATTGCCGCGCTGGACGACGCGGCGGTGGACGAGCTCCGCCAGCCCACGGCGGAGCATCAGGTGCTCGAAGTGCTGGCGTTGGACGCATGTGACAAGGCCGTGGACGCGCTCGCTCAAGTGGAAACGACCGTGGCGGCGCTCACGAGTCTGCGCCATGTGCTGCCACAAGTGTCTGCTACGCTCGTCAACGACATGGTCGTGACCAAGGGGCCCGTGGTCGTGGCCGCAGAGGACCGCGCCGCCGTGACGGATGTGGTGTGGACGGCCAAAGACCCGAGTGGACCGCTACACCGCTTCCCCGTGGAAAGGGAATATGTGCTTCGACACACGGCACCGCGGCCGTTCTTTGTTGGTCCAAGGGATGACGGCGGGAGACGGTCGGTGGATGTCGTGAACCGATTGTACGCCAACTTTACCCCGCACGAAGTGCGATATGCCCTCGTACTGACCGATTCCGAGTTTTAGCATGCTGTAATAGTAGTACTCAGGCGTCGGAAACTCATAAACATTATTTCCCCTTTTGTTCCTATATTGAACGAGGGAATCCAGCCTCGTCCTACCCCTGGAATGTACAATAGTAGGGTACAAGGAATGAATAAGAATGTACTATTTTCCCAAAATATAAAAGATAGCAGCGGCCCATAGAAAATGTAATTGCATCTAACGTGGATTGTAGGCCCTCATGTCAGAAATGGTTGCTGTGAACACCAAACTGTACTGTACATGCGTTCGATTGTGGTATTATTGTCGGAAATGGCTTTAACTAACGATGCATTGCCTTGGGTTAGTTCATATAGCCCAGCTCGGCTACATATATACGTCCAACCAACGGCTCAGTGGCAATCCACGAAGCCACACAAATAGGCAAGATAGAGGCCACTTAGCCCATTTGGTGCTTTGTGGACATATCCACAAAGCAATGGCCGTTTTGCATTGTTACAGTACTCCCAACCAAAACGCCGCGTACTTCTTCCTACTATTCCATACTAGGATTTGTCCGAGGCCTGGTACTACTAAAAAACTACCGTAGTACTGTAGTAACGCATATGTCAAAGGAACGGTCGTAATCGATAGGATGCTTGTCGTGTTAGGCGGTGACGGTAAACGATGCGTTCGCCTTGGTCGATATTGCTTTTGTTTGAAATGCTGTCGAGTTGGATGCATTGCGAAGGCGGTGCGCGTCGGCGTTGCTGGCTTGAAGCCATTGCCGATAGATTTGCTCTTGGGTGTGCTTCAGCTCCGTCAACGCACGACATTGCTGCATGCGTTCGTTGGCACGAGCACTGTTGGCCCGCTCGAGGTCGCGTCGACGTTGCAGCTGCTCGGTGCGGTTCCGGACGTAGGTGGTGCTGCGGTTTATGTCCAAATATCGCGGCTGGACTTGGCCAAACTTGCTGTTGGTTGATCGGGCAGGTCGAGTGTTGGCCTCACGACGCGTGCCTTTTCCTTGCCGTTCATGAGGCTGATTGCTCTCGACGCTTTCTGGAGAGGTCGCATCACGCAGCTCTTCCGTGCTCGAGGCAAGTGAATCGTCCTCGTTCATGTTGCCGACGACAAGTAAAAAAGTGATCGGATATCTAATGTTGTTTGACACACGTTATCCGGATATGAATTGCAAATCCCACTCGTTCCGGATACCAAACGTCACAGTGTTTGATTCGCTAGAATTGCATTCTTTTAGCCAATCGTGTACAGTTTCATACATATAAAAAACAAAGATCGATCACGGTATGGCGACCAACGTGAATGCGATGGCCGGGTCGATGCAGGAAGAGTTCGCGACGATAATCTTCAAGTACTCCGCATCCCCAAAGGTACTGACGTGTCGCTCTTCTTCCCAGGTCCAGCGACACTTGGTGTGTAGGACAATGACCTGGGGAAACTCGCACATGAGTTTGCCGCGTTGCACAACATAAACCTCAAGCCTCTCAAGGTACGATACTTGCTTGATCAAGTCCAGTCACTTATGCGGTCCTTAGAAAACCATCCAACATGTTCTGGAGCTACTGAATCACGCGATTCAACAGAGTCAGCCGACGAGCGAGTTCGTCGAACACCTCACCCACGCAGGTTGATCGGCTGCTCGAAGTGTGCTGACGTGTCGGCAGGTATGGACTTGGCGCCTGCCAAGTTGTTCGCAACCAAGTGGGAGCATTCTCGTGCCCAATTGCTGCAGCGGACGCATCAAGTGATGCTGTCGTCGAACAAACTTGTCAACCTGACGTGGAAAGTCGGTATTACCTCCGCCACCAACCTTGTGCCAGAGGTACATAACCACCTTCGTACTGGCTCGTATGACATTGGCCATAGCTTGGCGCAACGTACGTGCAGCTCCGCTTTGAACTGGACTCGACGACGGAGACGATCGAGTTGTCTGTGGAGAGCTTCTACCGATTCCTCGCCAACATGGAAGCACTGCAAGCCCACATGCATTTCCTCATGGGATAACGTTAAGCAGTGTTTCAGTCGGGAATGTCATTATTGAGCGGCTACTAGTACTCGTAGTAGTTCGTAGTATGTTCATAGTAATACGATTAATAGTATTAGGAATAGTAGTAAGCTTACTAATAATAATAATACTAGTGCATTGGATACAATTATCCGGACGCTGTCGCTTCTGCGCACATGCCATTCCATTCGTAAAGAGGATGGTGGAGCCAACACTGGCGGAGAAGCCAACTTTGCCCACGAACGTGCATCGCTATGGATGCGTGAAGGACGACATTATGTTCGAAGTGCTGGACTCTGTTCTCACGGAGGCGGAGTGTCGTGCGCTGATCAATCGCATGTCGCCGGCGTTGAAGAGCGTGAGCGGCGCGCTGTCGCGGCTGCATCCGCTGGGCGAGCAGCGCGCGTCCAAAACAGAGTACTGTTTGTCAGTCATGGAGAACAAGCGATTTGCCGACGTCATCTGGCAGCGTCTCATGGACAGCGAAGCGTTTGCGTCAATATACAAGTACGGCTGCTCGCATACAACACTCCCGTTATGAACCATCTTGCAGGTACACGCAACGAGAAGGGTGTGGCATGCCGCTAGGGTTGGCGCCTCGCCTTCGTTTACTGCGCTACGAAGGGTCGGATCGGTTCGACGCCCATTACGATCGCATTGTCCCCGACGAAGCCACCGGTACTCCATGATTGATATCTCTTGGGGTTTGACAATAGTAATAGGCAGCGAAAGCCTCATCACGGTGCTCATCTACTTGAACGATGGCGGTGGCGTGGACTTTAGCGGCGGCGAAACGCTCTACATAAACCCGGAAAACATGGCCGAGTCGGTGGGTGTGGTGCCTCAGCGTGGCCGCGTCGTCCTCTTCGAGCATTGCTTGTACCATTCTGGGTCGCCCTTGCAACATATCGACGACAGCGCCAACCAGCGCAAATATGTCATGCGCACAGACATTCTGTTTCGGATACAAGCCAAAAACCACGACAAATACTAGGCTCCACATAATGTTACTATTAATAGTATTAATAGTAGCTATAGTAGTATAATATTAACCCCCTAGGATGTAATTATTGCTTCGAAGCAATAAGTTACTATTTTTTAAAATAGCAATAAGTTACTATTAAAATAGTAACTTATTGCTCGAAGCAAAATATTATTAATTCATTAAAATGAATTAATAATATTTTGTACACTTAATATTAATAGTACCAGGTACTACGTAGTACTGTACTTCAACATGGTTACTCCTTTTAAAATTGATAACGTTAGTGTGCAAAATAATTCCATTATAGAGGAACGCCGTTTCGTCAACGCCCATCACGAAAATGTCTCGAAGGGTGCCGTTGGTGCTCGTGTGCGGGTGGATGCATGCGCCTTCCCGCGGGGTAGCCAAGTATGCAAACCTCTTTCAGCGCCTGGGCTATCGCACGGAGGTTGTCGAGTCCCACGTCGGTCACTTGTTCATGCCTCCCGCTTGGATACACGCCAAGTCGCCGACGGTGGCAGCGCTCGAATCCGCTGCTTCCATTGCCAACAATGACGATACCGAATTGGTGATCATTCCGCACCTGATTTCGGGCGGAGGGTGCTTATCCTGGTACTGCGTGGAACGTCATTTGAGGCAGCGTGGCGTGCACTTCTTCGTGCCGGCCATGATCTTCGACTCGTCGCCGAACTCTGGCAAGGGGTTCGACGTGTTTGAAGGATCCTTTGACAAAATCTTGGACGATTTCACGTCCACGACAACTTCCCCCGTGAAGCGGTGGATTGCTCGGACCGTGTTGAAAGCCGGATGGGCCGCGGTCATGTTGCGGTGGAGCGGACGATTCGGCCCCGACCCACTCCAGCGCAATTTTGCCAAATTGATAATTGCCGACGCTGCCATTCCAAAGCTATTTCTGTATTCGTCCAACGATGTCATCATCACAGCCCCCGAAGTCGAAGAGGCTATCGCCGCCGCCGCGGCGGGTGGCACTCCCCTCGACCAAGTCAACTTTCACACGTCCCTCCATGTTAGCCACTATTTGGACTACCCCGAAGTGTACGAGCAGAGCATTGTGAATTTCCTGACGAAATACGTCCCTTGAATGAGTATGCGAGTACAGTCTGGAACAAAACTATAGCCGCACCCCAAAATTTTCAAGTTAACACTTGTGTTTTTGTCCATTACAGAAGCCGATTTGTTGATTTGATCAACTTTGAACTTTAGCACAGAGGATACCAGTACTATACTACTTGAAATACTGTTGTATTAATAGTACAAACTTATTTAATACTTGAAATACTGTAGTAGTACAAACTTATATTTATTACTAGAAATACTGTGTAGTACAAACTTACAGTTGTTACAGTGTACTAATAGTAGTATTCCATTCACAGTGACATCGATGTCAGAATTCACTTATTACTACTATTTTAATAGTAGTAATAAGTATTCTTAATAATACTATTTTAATAGTATTATTAAGAATACTTATTAATACTAGTATTTATAGTACAGTACAGTACATATACCTATAGATCATGTGGAGATGTTCTTACAGAAAGTACTGCAACGCTCGAGAGTTCCAGTACAGTATACCCATAGTAGTAGTAAGCAACGATATGATCAGTCCAGGGAAGGATTCCTAGTATGAACTAACACTGTAAAACCAATATGAAACAAGCACGAATGCTGTGGCTTCTACACATGTTGCGTGGGCTTGCTGCTGCCAGCGGGCGGGGCGCCGCCTTGGTTGCTGCTGGCGGCATATTCGACGGGGTAGATTTCCTTCCACGCTGCGTGCAAATCGTTGTGGTCGTCCGGATGTGACCGTTGGAGGGACTGCGGGTCTTCCGCGAACAAGACGAACGCTGTCGCAACACTCGAGTTGATCACGCTCATGACGATGTAGCAGATGGCAAACCCGATCAAGAACCCGGACGTGCCAAGCGTGAGCGCCGGCTGCGACAGGTTCTGTGTCCACACACTGTTGTTGTGGTGTTTATCGTAGCTCACGGCCCAGTTGCCGGCGGCGGCGCCGGTGAATCCGACCATGATGGCACCGACCATAAGCACGTTGTCGATGAGCGAATCGTTCGCGATGGCGGACCAGCCCATCTTGTCAAAGAGTTCCCACGTTTCCTTGCCCGAGCGGAGGAAGCTGAAGCCGTAGATACCCACGTACGAGTACGCGTACTTGTTAAAGTACTGGACGAGGCGGCTAATGCATCCAATGATGCACTCGAGGCAGCCGAGAAGGCACACGGCGACGGAATTCTGGCTCTTGGACGCGAGGTGGCGGAAAAACATGATGATTGCCTTGATGGTTTCGATCACAGACACGATGAACGATCCGAAGCAGATGGACCCGAACGACAACGTCATCGCGCGACACAGCGCCGTCGTGCTCGTCATAGGCTTGCGGTTCTCGTCCGAGTTGTACCACCATGAGGCCACGGTGCCTGACACAGTCACGTGCACGATGTTGCGCACGACAAATACTGTCCAGAAAAACACGAGCAGCATCCCAAAGAAGATGCTGAAGCGCTCGGTGTTGCCGTATCCGTCGGGGTTCAAGTTGGCCGACACGTTCAAGCCGGGGACTTGGCTCAAGATGTACTCGCCGTGGTTCATCGTGGCGTATGTCGCGGCCGACCACACGAGGCACCACAACGCAATCACGATCGTCATACCAAACGCAATCAGGAGCAGCACCGGGTACGTCAACACGGCACGACACGCAATCTTCAAGTTGACCGATGCAAATGCAATGCGGCGGCGGATGCAGCACACGTAGATCGTGAGAATGAGCGCCAAAAGCGTACCCAACGTGGCAGGTACCCAAAAGAACGTGTTATCGCCACCATCCTTCATAAAGTACGAACCCAAGACGCCCGCAGCAAACACACCCACGATAGCGACGATGGCCGCGATCCAAATGAGCAACTTCCCCATGACCAACATGATTCCCGTCCACACCATGGAAAGTACCACCGACGCACCAGCAATGCCAGCGCAAATTTGCAGTGCATACCGATACTTGTGTTGCTTTTGCTTCAACTCATCGCCGTTGTAGGTGAGCACTTCACCACCGTACATGGCAAAGAGCGCAATGACCAAGCCAAAGCATCCAAGGTACAGGATGGCGAAGAAGATGTCATTGCAGCTGCGCTCCTCCTTGAGGTCGCATCCTGGCTTCTGCACAGAGTCCTCCGCGGCAGGGGGCGGCGTCTTCACAGTCGTCGGCTTGGCTGCCATTTCACTTTTTCGACAATGACCGCTCGCGCCTTTTTGTCCGGAAACGGGAGATCATCCGGATAGTACATATTGGGTTGCAATATGGTATACTGCAATCAAGTGTAAAAGTAGCTACAAGGACAATCGAACAATTTCCTGCCAATCAGAAGCGAGGATTTCATGTCGCTCGGTTGAACAGCCCGACGCTTTGGCGATTGGCGGCGGCCCGTGGAGGAAGCACGACAAGTACAAAGGGAGTGGCTAATGGGCCAACATAGATGCGAGCGCGCCGTGGACATGAGATGTAGTAGGTGTGGTCTCTGTCCTGCCTTGCTATCTTACCGAGGGTTTTGGTTTCAGTACGTTGGCCCTATGCACTCTGTATCTTTGCACAACAGCATCATTGCTTCCAATCATTCCATTCAGTAAATGCTTGTTAACAGGAACTACTAGTATTCTGCAGGAAACCTAACTGCTTCAATGGCGCATGGGAGGCTGGGGCGTTCACCCGCTGGCGCAGTAATCGTTCGCGCAGGATGAGACGAGTCTTCAGCGTCGCCATTCGGTTGGCGGCTTTGTCAAAATCGACGTCGGCCTTGTGGCCGTAGCATTCTGCGAGGACTTGGGCTAACTCGGCATGGTACGCGGCCGGCGAGGTTTGCGACGATCCCCTCGACGACGAAGACGACGATGTGGTAGAGGGCGACGTCGATGGCGTTGTGGACCAGTGGTGTCGCCGATGAGGTTGGCGGTGGTGCAGCTGCTGGCTGATCAGGACTCGAAAGTGTGTGAGGCACACTCCACTCTGCTTGGCGTAGCGAGTGCAATCCATGATCGAGCACGAAGCCGCGAACGAAGTCGGCATGGCACGTCCCAAGCGACGATTTCAAAATGCCAAGGCGCATCGTCATCTCCCCGCGTATCCGAGGGAAGCTACTTATAGACCCGTTGTATAGATATATATATATATAGCCGCGTTGGGACTGGTCAGATATGGCGGAAGTATGAAAGTAGTTCGACGTTACGTCTATTTGCGGTTCATTTGGACACTCAATGAAACTATGTTGGCATACTCGACCACCGAGAAGTGGTCAAAGCCAGTGATGCCGATGACGTTACTGCACAAGATGTGGAACCGGTGGAGCGACCTCCCCACCTCCCCATACTAGTAGGGTTTTGACGGATGAAAGCAGAAATAGCCATCGCAACGGGCCACATCGATGTCCTCGGTTCACGGGGCTAACCTAACTACAGTATGTATGCATCGACAAGACAGGTACGAGCATATTGACTGGAGTAGTTAGTGTGCCTCAAGGCACCACCACTGTGTGATGTCCATACTTCGTGAGTTTTGTACTGGCGATCGCGCCAACCATAGAAACACCACGACTGCGACAAGGTGCCAAGCAGGACTTGGTGCAGTTGGCAGGTCCGTTGAATGCTCAAGAAGAAATGCAGTGTAAAGATGCGCAAACCATTGATATCACAGCCCAAGTGTCTTCTTGTAAAACCTACACTACTGTAGCCATGTGGGGGAGATACAGTAACTATGTACAGTACGATGATCATGAGCACGAGAACAATATAAGGTGTAAAGTGGCTGGCTATATACCTGACACATTCAAGAAGACTGTTGTTGGAGCATAACATTATAACTTTATAACAGTTGTCATAGCTATGAATAACTTAGTCGAGACGGACAGCTCTCCGATCTCTAGACTTTGACACGACACAGAGGGCATGTGGCATGGCGAGTGAGCCACGTGGACACGCACTCGTGATGGAACGCGTGAGCGCAGCCGAGCCGGATGTTGGTGAACGCGGGCGCCGACTCTTCCAGGTCGTCCAGGCAGATGGCGCACGTCAAGTCGTCGTCGTCGTCGTCCGGACACACGTCGTGGGTGAGCATGCGACAGAGTCGGTCGCGCCACTTGAGCTCTTCTTGTTTGTGGAGCGCTGGCATTTCCACGGCTGACTCGATCAACTGGATGGTGTGTCGAAGTACCATAGCCGTCGACGCATCCGCCGTCTCGAGCGACACAATGCATGCTTCGCGGACATGAAACAGCGCCGAAATGTACCCACGGAATCCCTCGGAGCGTTCGGTGACGACGCTGTCGCAGTCAATGCCGAACCGTCGCTTGGGAAACGCTTGGAGTGGACGCATGAGGCCCCGGAGAAGCTGCTTGCCTTCGGTTGAACACTTCTCGGAAGACGCTTCGAGGATCGCTTTGCGATTGGCGTACACCCGCGAGAAGCGTTGCCGAACGACCCATAACACGTTGGTCGTTGGACATGTGATGTGCATGGTGTAGTTGGTGAAGAAGAACGACGGGCGGTCTGGACACACTTGTGGCTTGCCCCGTACCTTGGCAGACACGAGGGGCTTTTGAAGGCGCGGCAACGTGTCCAACAAATGGAGCGATTCGCGGCACAGACTGGACGGCCGGACTTCTGCCCACGACAGTTTGCCGCTGGTGAACGAGCAGCACGATGGTCGCGCGCTGTGTTCTTTGGTCGTCATCAGACTGAGGTTGAAGATTGGAAGGTGACATCCATGCTGTGGCGGAAATGCAGCGGACAAGAATTTAACGCGTTGCAAAATCGCTTAAATCCGTACAAAAACAGTGGTACGTTCAAATTGCCTTTATTTTATTATTCCGACTTCAGTTTATTTATACCAACGTTAGTATTTATGTACAGTACTACGTTGAACTAAAGTAGATAGTGTTTGGGTTGTGATTGGTCGACATATTGTACTTTTTAAGGGACGCTCACAACCTAGTGCAAAATCCAAGAGACTCCCCAATTCTCGCGGGTGCTTCTCAACGTTGACTTGAATAAAGTATGGCTAGCGGTTGTGGCACATCCATTGGTTCGTTTTCTTGTTTATGCGATTGGTTTTGAAGTGTCCTATCAATGGTGAACATTAGGGCTGGTCTCGACAACAGTGAAAGTGCAGCAATTGGTGAATTCTTATATGTGTAGAGGAGATATATGTACTGTACAGTGCCGTGAAATTCCTCATCACAAAAGGTTCGTCGGTGTTTTTTGCATCCACATTTCCTTGAAGCCGTTCTAGTACGTTAAAGAAAGTGCAGGGATGCTATCAGGTTATTGAAACTCGTTGCCCCGACAACTCATTTTGCTTCTGAAAAAGGCCTACAGTACTGTACTCTAGGTTCCTCCCCGTCATGCCATATCCATTCGACGTCATTTGAAGGGGGTGATATCATCAGTATACTGGTACCCACATGCAGAAGTATTTCCACGCACAGGTCACACTCCCTTGATCTTGACGTTCGTAGAAAGTTTGGTCATGTTATCGAAACGTGAACAACCCAATCGACTGCTGCTCGGTATGTGGCAATATACGGGGATGATTTGTGATTTCTTTTATTTTGAAAATAAAATCTACTTGGGCATCGTACGTTCAGGAACGTTGTGCAAATATACGTACCTCGAAGTAGTATTTTACAGTTCTATCCGGATTATTTACAGTTTTCACAGTCACCGCCATTCGAAAGCCTTCGACAGTCGACGACAACGAGAATTCCAATCCCCCCTACCTGACGTCGCCCCTCTTTTGAATGCGGATACGGATGACTTTGAGGGCTAAATTGACTCCACCTTGCTTTTCGTGGAAGCTAATAAAAAAACAAAAGAATATAAATTAATCGAACGAAAAGCAGAAATTTCCTGGCTAATTCGTAAAAACTGTATTTTACTTTCGAAACTGTAAAGCTGGCCGATTTGCAGTCTCACGTTAAAATTATGCAGTTTCCTGTACAGTCGCCCGGCGGGGTTATCAAAACTGTAAATAATCCGGATAGAACTGCGACTGTATAACCATTCTCTAAATTGCCGTTTTACAGTTCCTGTATTGTCATCGGAAAACGTAGGCCAGGTGGCTCACTGCTTTTGATTGGTTAAAATGCTACTCTTTTCGCCCAATTGTCTCAACTTGCTTCCACTTGCCTCCGCTTGCTTCCACTTGTGTACAAACTAATTCCATTCATTTGCATATTTCATATTGATCAGACTATCAAGCTACCATGCCTAACTTCTTTTACGCTTCGAATATGCCCTTTTCGTTTTCGCGCCATTCGTCTCGCGCATGATCCGAGCGACGGTGACGACCATGAGCTGCCCGAACCGTCTTTGCCGTTGGCTCAGGGTCTTATCAACGACTCCGTCGAGAGCATGGACAGCGCAGTCAAATGATTCGACGACGGCTTCCTCGGTACTTTCGATTGGCCCAGTAGGATGTACTTCCTTGGAGTAGAACTGCCAAAGAATAGTCATAACGTACCGCCATTCAGACAAGATGCGCTTTTGAAGTTTCGTTGAGAGGTCGCTTGGGTCAATCGTGCGATAAGGGATCTCATTATCCTTGCCGAGCCACCACAAAGCCCAAGCCGTTGCCACGTCAACACTTGGGAAACAAAAATCCTCCGGCAGCTTGTGCAGGCGGCCACCCCAGGCAAACAGCATGTGTTCGCGGCGTCGTGGCGGGGGCTGTGCCGGTACAACGTCAGCACTGTTTCCACCGCCGCCAAGCCGCTCCAGGATAGTCGAAAAGTGCCTGTCGATGTACGCTTGAGTGACTGTGCCTGCTGAGAGCTCCTTTTCGTCCCAGATGCCCCGGACGCCAGCAACAACCTCGGTCGAGAGTGCCTTCAATGTCTCATGTTGCGCTTCGAGCTGACGATATAGCTCAACATAGGGCGGAAGACCTGTAGGTGCCAACGTCGCCGAGCTGGATCGCAAAAGAGACCGTAGTTTTACCCGTAATTCGTCGTCACGAAATATAGCCGTGTGCAAGACAGCGTGGCTGGCCGGTAGTGTGCTGCGAAGGTAGTCGGCGTGGAACACGAGTGATGCCAACCCAAGCTTGAGAACGCCGAGTAGGGCCACGTTCTTTGAAAGTCTCGGAAACATGTACCGCACTGCACTTGTGACGGTGGCGCTGTCAGTGGCGTCGAAGTGAGGGGGAAGTTGAGCGAAGCCAGCGCTGTTGAGTGGAAGGCCTGCCACCACACGACCAACAAACTGATCTCCGGCCTTCTCGTAGTGCATATACCGCTCCACAACGTTGCCTAAGGACCACCCACAACGAATACAGACGCTGATTACCGACGGTCCACTTGTGCTGCCGGAGCACACGAACGTCGCAGCACCTTTTCGAATGGAATGGGTGCCAACCGTGCCGTTTGCTGTGCTCCCAAGAACCGCATGGGCCAACGCCTTGAGCGCCTTCCCAAAACGGTCGCGCTGTCTTGCACCCGGAAACAGAGCACCCGTTGCCATCGTCGGGTTACACGCAAAGTAGATGCCCAAGGCAAGGAAGGAGCATATGGCTGGAGACGATGGGTTGGCGTAGATGTGCTTGGGGTCACGCCGCTTCGACCCCGACTGGTCGGTCTTGGACTTGAAGTACGTGACGCCCACAGCATC